TCCAAAGTGATAGCAGAGCTGTATATTTTAGGCTTTCAGAAATCCCTCATAGTATATCATATTTAGATGGGAACTGGAAGCTAACTAAATGCTAACTTCTGTTCATGGACTCCTGGATGTTAAACTTTATTGATACACCTGGTAGAGCAGCCACACTGATCATTTTATTACAAATGAAGGAATTTAGACAGTTTTAAACTCTCAATGACGGCTAATGATGTCAGACTTAAGAGGCAGATGAAAAAGATAATATGAATGTCGCCATCATGACATCATCCATTGGTGTTTGAAGCCCCGAGGATTTTTGCCATCATCATCTTTGTGTTGAAACTTGATGTGAGGAGAGAGGGGTTGATCTGACTGTGAAAGCCAATGAGCATAATCTAAATGATCCTCATTTTTGAAACTTAGAATGACCAACATTTATAAAATTGACTCCTTTTTCTCAGTATGCCTCGAAATTTAATGTCTGTGGGGTTTAACATTTGGCAGCAGCCTCAAGTGGCTATTAGAGGAACTGCAGCTTTGGGTCAGTCCCATTACAGGCTGTGCATTCATGCTGCTAATACCAAACTTTAACACTAGAAGGTGAGCCTGTGCCCACTGCAGGCTCACATTTGTTTTTTCTGTTTTTCTCTGAAGGAAGGGGGCTGAACACCTCTGAACTCTGGCATCAGCAAAGAGTGTCCATCCAAACAACTGCTGCTCATCCATCTTTCTGACCGAACTCTCGCAAACCAGCCTATCTGCTGCCAGCAGTCCTGCCAGAATCATGTTAACTGAAGGAAGGTTTTATGTTGTGCCCTGCCAAATGACTGGCTGACTACTGGTCCTGATAAAGTGCTTTGTGAGGGAATATTCTGTTGACAGCAAATGTGGCTCTACAAACTGGATAGTTTGTCTTTTCAATCAAGAGTTTATTGTGGAGGAAAACAAAGAGGAACTATGAAGAGTCCCAGTAAGTGAATCACAGAGCAAAAGGTTATAAAAAGACAATGATCCTGACTCACGAGGTCTAAGATATATCTGATTTATTGCACAGAAAAATCCACCTCCGCACACTCGATGACTTGTTTTTGTCTATTTGCAGATTTTGCCATTTGTTCCACATTAAAGTTGACCTATGGGCCTCAATTGCATCTGGACTCCTGGAATAAAGTTGCTTCTCATGAGTCACAGCTTAAATTAATTCACATGAATCTTATGCTGGACCTTAGTGCTGCCCCTCAGTTCATCCTCTCCCTTCAATAAGACCTTTTAGAAATGGACTGTGTTTTACCATCATCATCTTGGTGTTTGGTGACTAAGAATCTTTTGGCACTGAGTCTTTATTGACTCTAATGAGGACCTTAATTTAGGAAATGTGTTAAATAAGACATAAACTGGTAAGAACGTGTTTATTGAGGTCATGGAGCGAAGGAGCTGGAGGTCTGATGACATACTGTATACTTCTGTAGTGTATGACTATGTCGACATCGTTTTTAAGCCTTTTCACTGTATTTTTCCTACAAGTCAGGGAGCTGCACTGAGGTGCTTGGTTTCTGGTTATGACAGAAGCATCTCTTTCGTAATGACAGTAGAGTGGAAAAGTGGAAAAAGTGACACATATTGTTAAAATTACATTTATTTGACCTCAGCTATCTTCTGCTCATGAATCATTGCATGCAAAAGTTCTCAGAAAGTACTTATTTACACTTAAAAAGGGGGAAAATGTTATCATTTATTATTCAGCAGTTTTACAGCCTAGAGCTTCTTGGTTAAATCAGACTGCAGGTGGCCCAGGAACTATAATACGTTTGACACCCCACAACAGTATGTCCGATCCAGGAGGAGAAGCGCAGTGTTTAAAGCAGTCTAAAGCATGAAGGTCATCTTTATTAGTGTTAGTGTGGAGTTTTATTGATAACATCTTTTTATAATTATTTCCAGGGTCACCCAATTTCTCCTTGTCTGTCTTTGTTTCCTTGTTTCTTTGGTTTAGTTCCCTTGTTTCTTCTCAGTTATTTTGGTAACTTCCCCCTTTCTCAGTTTACTCAGTTTGCAGATTCTTGTAGATCTGTCCTTCCTCTTCTCATGTCTTAATCTCGCTCCTCTAATAAAAAAGAATCCTCAGAGAAACAGTTGACGTCCTGAAACAAAATTACTGAAACATTAACTTTTTAGACCTTCCCGTCAGCGGTTGAATGAAAAATTCAACTTATTTACTGTATATCCTCCAAAAGTATTACTTTTCATAATGAAATAGATAAATTAAATTTACTGTGTAGCATATCTTCTGCCTCGTAATATCTTTATCACTGTTTTTTATTTATCCGAAGTGTCCACAGAGCTCCACTGTTGTCCAACAGCTTGAAAACTGTGTAAAATTGTCCTTTATTACCACAGCCATACACTCCATACACCGTATGGTTGAAGGAAATAAAAGAAGCAACATATCAGCTGCTTAAAGTGCCTGTCTCTTTCTGCTTCCTCCTTTTTCTGCTGAATCAGAATTTCTTTTTTGAAGAACTGAACATTTATAAACTTTTTAGGACTTATGTCAGTCTTTCTTTAAAAATAGAAAACTTGTTGCTGTCGAGGCTGAAGGAGTCCAAAAGTACTGACACACTGAAATATAGCAACAATCTCTGGTGTTTAGAAACGTGACATCCCACTAGGTGGGGCCTCATATTTAAAAATGAAAGAAGTCTGCTCTTTTCAAGTGTTGCCTTCATGCAGATGAAAACGTAGCTGATGCTTCATCTCACTGCTGTGATGTGGCGGCAGAGGAAAGTACATTTTCTCTCCCTCTCCTGTAAAAACATTTTCCCTTTTAGGTTCCTGTGACGCAAATATTTTGCACGTGTAGCACCTTATTAGGCATGAAATTAAAATAAATTAACCTTTTTTAAAGGTTTTTGGGGGATTACCAGAAAGGCTCATAGTCAAACAACGTCGGGTTATGGGTTCAGTACAGGTTACCATGGAGATCTAACAAGGTTAGACAGCGTGTTTCACATACGTGGATACCCATTATGCTCACTTTGCAGTACCTCCCTGTGTGTTTTCTCTCCCTGAACAACTTTCCTGACACAGACCTCTTTGATGTAACATCACACCATTTCATTTCACATTGTGCTGAAAATTTCTGATTGTCATTAACAGTTTTTTTTTTTAAATATCAGTCTTAGATTTTGCATCTTTAACTGCTACAATTTCCAGATACGGTGGGCAGTGGTTAGCACTGCTGCCTAAGAAGGTTCCTGTTTTGAGTCCTGGCTTTGGCCCTTTTTCATGTTCTTCTCATGTCTGCGTGCGTTCTCTCCACTTAACGGATGGGTAATCCTCTTACTTACTTCATATTTTTCTTGAACATAAAGGGTTTGGAAAAACTGAGCAAATCCTTGCACTTATGGAGTGGTGCATTGATAACAACTTGGAACAGAATGTCAACTAAACCAAAGAGATCATCGTTGAAATCTGAAGCCAGCATAGCTGCACACTACATGTTGTCAACAACACCACAGTGGAGGCTGTCGTACAGATAACACATATCCTGTCCTTGTCACAGCAGCATCTGCTCTTTTTGTGCTGATAGAGAAGAAATGACTTACCCTGTGCATATCTGTGATGTCAGGACGGTTAACTGGAAGTCCCTGCAGCGCGTGGTGACGACAGTGATGATCATTGGGTCTTCTCTTTCCACAGGATCTGCAGCGAATCACTAAACATGCCCCCAAACCACCAGCGCTACAAATGACTGGACTGCTCCATGTAGTCAAAACGAAGCTTTACAACAGAGAAATCTAACGTGCAATAGTTATTCTTATACTTTTATGTATATGTGCATTCATTTTCTTCTGCTTATCCAATTAAGGGTGGAGGCTGGAGCCTGTCTTAGCACGAGAGGCAGCGTACACCCTCACCAGTCTGTCACAGGGCTAACACAAAGAAACAGGCAACCATTTACACTCATATTCAAACTTACAGCCAACTGAGACTCTCCGATTAGCCCACATGTAACCTCAGTAAGTGCATGTCTGCATGACTCAAACCCAAAACCATCTTACTGTGAGGCTACAGTACGTTATATGTTATGTGTGTGTGTGTGTATATATAACCACTTTGCATATACATATAACAGTATAATACACAGAACCTTTGTTGCACTATTATGAACCAGGCAACATATTTTCATTCACATTTACACTGTCTGGCGTTGCTAGTGGCGTGTTGTGCTATTGGTGCACTTCATAACTCATGCGAAGGCTTTAAAGCTTTTCCAGGACACTCGCGCACATCCAAATGAAAACAGAAAAAAACCCTCATGATTAGGACACATTAGTAACGTCCATGTTGCAGCTGGCTTTCATTTTTTTATTTCTAACACAGTGTGCTTCTGTGAAGGCCGTTTCATTTTTCATTTTTTCTTTCTTTTTTGTTAACTTTAGTTGTAAAAGTGTTGCAGTGCAGAATACATATTTACAATATCCTCTGTATGAAGTGTGGGTGTTTTAAGCGAAAGCTTCAGCCTACATCGTTCCTGTCAGCAATTTGAGTTCCTCAGATTTAAGTCATTTATGCGTTTTTATCAGCATTCCTCAGTCATTTTTGAATAAACAAATATTTTAATAGCTTAAGCATTAGCTGCTGATCCAATATTCATAAACTGGAGTGCTTCTGTGAAAGCAGTGCATTTGAATATCTTCTCCACCACCTCAGAAAAATCGCCATTGTTTTAAATTAAAAATGCCTGATTTCATCCTGTTGATGTTATGACATTATCTTTAGTGGTCACAGCTGCAGTGTTTGTGTAATAACGTGTAATAGCGATAAGGTCATGAATGAGCTGTCTGTTGCTCAATGGGCATTTTACCATGTTTCACATCATCAGACGAGTTGTAAGCGGTGCTGTTGGCTGAGCTCTGGAGCGCCTCCAGTGTCGCTGCTGTGTCTCCGAATGGCAGCGCCGGCCCTCTTTTCACTCTGACTGAGTTTGTTTCCTGTGCAGCCGTCAGTCGCTCTGCACCATCAACAACATGGCCATACGCAGAAAAGACAGCTTCCTCTGGGGAAAAGGTATGCCTATTAATCTTTTACTTTCAATCGTTGTCATAAGTTGCCGCTTCTTTAAAACTAAAAGTGGTTTTGATGATGTTTGTGTTGACTATTTGTGTGGTTTAGTTTAGAACTCAAACTGCTTACAACTGCTGCTTTGAATATCATGCTATTTTCATATTACTTTCGATGCACAATAATGTCTTTGCCTAGGAAGGAAACTGAACTTTTTTACAATGTTATAAAAAAAATTACTTGGACTTAAATTCTGCTTTAGTGGCTGCACTGCACTCAAAGTAACCCTTCTTGTTCAAAAGAGGAAGAAAAGCAGCTATTTTAAGCGTGTTGATTGACCACTTCTTTAACCTGTGAAGGGTGAAGGTGTGATATATGAATGTGTGTGAAAATGAGCGCGGGGGGGGGGGGGTTGTCAAGACAGTCCACAGAGTTGCATGGCTAATTAATGCATTATCAAGTGTATTTATCCCCATCCTGAAGTGTAACTGATGCTTTCTGTCACCCAACAGCTCCAATCAAACTCCCACCAGAAGCGAGGAGGCAGGGTGAGGCGCATGAGTTTGAGCTGCTGGATGACATTCAGGTACTGCGGTGAATATTTTCCTCTAAGGTCTTTCATTAAAATTCCTCGTTATTCTGCTGTATGCACCCACTCCTAGCAGCCTCGGCAGAGTTTTTCACAGCGCACAAAAGGCCATTCGTACATAACATTTAATTGAGATATGAAGGATTTGAAGGCTGCTTTATAATAGCCGACAAACTGACCATGAATCATTGAGTCTGCGAGTATCTGTGATGTAACACCAAACCTTGGTCTTTCTCTAACGTCACTGCCTTCTTTCTTGCAGAAACTCAGATTGGAGATCAATCACGTCATGCCTAAATTCCACAGCCCTGAACTGAAGGAGCAGAAGTGAGTATGAGGACAAGCATTCTTATAGCAGCTATTCTCTGAGTCAGCATGGCTTCTTCCTCTTGTTTAAGCGACACTTTGATTCAGCTTAGTCTCCTACACCACACGTAATGCTCAGTCGCACAGCCACCTTTACTCAGATTTGCATTTGACCAAGTCAGAAGCAGGGGCATTTCAGTGTGATGATGCACTGCACAAGCCTGATAAACAAATCGGATTAACTGTTTTAGGTTGTTAGTGTTAGGTTTACCACCAATTAGACCAGGATGCCACTTTTCAGACCAACCATTCCCATATTTAGAATCCCAAAGCCCACTATGTAATCTGTAAATATTCTGTGGCCCAAACATTTAGTTGCATCTCTAAGTGATACTTTTGTCACATCAGGGAAACCCTTTGCTTTTAACTAAGAATATAACCACAATACAACTAGCTGGCAACCAGCTGACAACCATTAGTTTTTCAATCTCACACAAGGATTTTCCATTGGAAAACTGCTCTCAGCTCCTTTTCAAATTCAATTTTATTTGTCACGTACACAGTCATACACAGTACGATATGTAGTGAAATGCTTGGACAACTGCTCGTGACCTAAAGAAAACAAAAAAGGAAAAGGCTATGAATAAGATAGGAAATAAATATGAAAAATTAAAAAGGGTAAATTTAACTAGGAAGGAATAAAATATAAATTAAGGTTAAAAATGAAATAACTGTACAACACAAATTAGAATGAAGGGTAAATTTAACTGGGAAGAATAAGATAAAGATAAATATATAAATTAAAGTTGAAAATAAAATAACTGTACAACAAAATACACAATATAAAACTATATAAGAATGTATGAAGAAATCTAAATATAAATAAATATATACACAATAACAGCAGCTGTACAAGTATTAACCGGAAATGAAGAATATAGTGACCAGTGTTGTGCAAAACCAAAGTCCAGAAAGTCCAGTGTGTGTGTAAGAACCATATGTGTGGGTCAGTACTGTGTGGTGGTGTGATTGAGAGACCGTATCGCCTGCGGGAAGAAGCTCCTCCTCAGTCTCTCTGTGTTGGTCTTCAGGGAGCGGAATCGCTTTCCTGACCTCAACAGAGAGAACAGTCTGTTGTTGGGATGGCTGAGGTCCTTCACGATCTTCCTGGCCTTGGTCCAGCACCGCCTGCTGTAGATTGAGTGCAGGTCAGGGAGCTCGGAGCGGATGGTGCGCTCAGCTGATCGCACAACCCTCTGTAGAGCTCGTCTGTCCTGCATGGTGCTGTTCCCGAACCAGGTTAAGATGTTTCCCGTCAGGATGCTCTCTATGGTGCACGAGTAAAAGTTCCTGAGCACCTTGGAGGGCAGTTGGAAGTCTCTCAAGCGTCTGAGGTGGTAGAGACGCTGTCGGGCCTTTTTCACCACGGTGTTGATGTGACAGGACCATGACAGGTCCTGCGTGATGTGAACTCCGAGGTATTTGAAGCTGTCCACTCTCTCCACTGGGCACTCGTTGATGACGGGGGTCTGGTAGTTCCTCTCCTGCTTAGTGCTGAAGTCCACTATCAGCTCCTTTGTCTTACTGACGTTTAGAAGGGAATATTTTCCTGATGAGCTCATTAGTTGATAATTTCAGGTCATCTTGTATTTATTTGTGATTGATGAGTTATTAGCCAAAAAAAAGCACAGTTTTATCATCAGATTCAGCTCTTGTTTTAGCTAGCTAGTAGTTCAAGAAACCCAAAAGCTCAAATTGCGACTTCATAAAGAGATTTCGCAAACTGTTGGCTGGTGTAGCTACGTCCATCGTTTACACGATATAAAATGGTTTCATTTTTATTTTTGCTTTTTGTTGGAAATATTTAATTAGAATTTTTTTACAGTGATTAAAACAACCTTTCCTGACTCATATGCAGTACCTAAACCACCCTACAGGGGGCTGTGGTCCACACATTGGGACTCACTAATAATACTGGACCAAAATGAACGTGTATATGCCTTTAATATCACAGACGGAGAGGTATTTTATAACCTATATGCTGGTGGTGGCCTTGAGCAGTCAGGAGGGGCAGGGGCCCTCTGTTTAATTTGCTTGTCAAGCCTTTTCACTTGACACTTGCAATCACTTTCTCCATAAATAGTTCCACAAAGAGCAATTTTTACTGCTTTCCTTTTAAAACAAATCCACACAGTTTAATTCAGGTACTTCACATCTGTGCTACCCTTTATTTTAACCTTTTACCCATTATTTTGCTAAATGTTTCAAAAATTTTTAGTCATCTTTGGAGGCTGGTAATTAGAGACAATGTGTTTTGGAGGAGACACTGTGATCCGGCACGAACTGAAGCACCAGCTGTAATAAAACAAAGTTAATGAGCACGCTTACAGTCACAGAAATTTGGAGAGAAAAATGTCTTTTGACACTATGGGGAGTCCTTATTTGGAGTTTCTGCTTTTCGCTGTTGCACTTATGAGGCGATAATAGTCTAGTGTGACACTACATTTACACATAGCTGCATTACTGGCATCGCAACCTCAGTTTCTGAGTACTGCTGCACGCACGCCACAAAAACACCGACCACTTATCACAAAGCGCTCGTTATCGGAAAGTAGTTTGGAGTGTGATAAATGAATTCACAGAAAAAATGATTTATTTTAACTTGAACATTGATCAGTTACAAAGTTAACTTTTCATTGTCTTTTATACCAATATATTATTTATGTTTAGTAAATCAAAAACTGCTGAAGTAAAGGAAACCAAACATTAATCCAGCAATCTGCTCCTCATATTCAACACGAAAAAACAGACAAACACAGCTCTCAGTTCAAAATAAACAACAAAATGAGCTACAAAACTTTATGATTTATAACATTACAACATTTTTTGTCTTCTGTTGCAGTAAAAATGTTGCGAGGAACAGGAAATTCCTACGTGGGAAAAAGAAATTTAACATGGACTCCAAAAAAGTGAGTTGATATCATATTTGTGTGTACACATTTTCATACATTAAGGAAAGATTTTTAATTTAATCTACAAAGTAAGACAATCCTTTGTAAGACTTTTTTAAAAACTCCATATCTTCCAGTGACAGTGACAGGAGCAAACAAAGAAGCTAGGTGTTGCTATAGATGGATTTATGTAGTCGCCTGTAGTTTATATGGGAGATACCAGTCTGAAGCACGCACTAACTACTCACTGAGCAGAAATAAAACTTGAAAAAGTGTGACACGAGTGCGACACGAGCTGAAAATAAACATCTGTGAACATTTAATTAGCAATCCACTAGTCAGACCAAACCAGTTGCAAGGAGGTTTTCACCAACTAACCCTTAACATCACATGGTCAGTGGTCACATGACTGCAAAAAACATCAGAGCAAGAAAGTCTGTTTAGGGTGGAGGTCCAGACAGATGGATGGGTCAACCAAACATCGGTATATGCTATATTTCTGTTTTAAGTCATCCTCAGTGTTTCTTTTACAAACTAAATTGTAGTAAAAGGGTGTCAGTGCTGTTTCTGTTAAAGTAGCCTCAGATATTGATGTCACTTTTATCATGATGTCATGTAAGAATTATAATGAAGGTCCTGCAACTGTAACCAAGTAGTTATTTTAACCTTTGACTCCAATAACTTTACATTAAAACGCCTCATTTATGTCTTAAAATAAAGACAAGTACCAAGGGTATATGAAGGGGAAGCTATCCACACGGACAAACAATCATTTTTCTTGAAAAGGTCAGTATTTTAACACGAGAGTCTGTGGGGACTGATTTGAAGCCACCTTCAAGTGGCCATTAGAGGAACTAAAGGCACATCTTGGGCTTCATGTACAGGTTTGTCTTTGTGCCTAAGCCTTGACTAGGTTTGTTAACATAATAGTTTCTATTTTTCAGCATTTTTAAACTTTAATCTTTAGCAGCATATCAGTGCCTCATCCAGTAACCCAACCATTGTGGGTGGCACAAGCATTATCCAGTAGGATAAGGGGAGGAGCCAACACCTGTAGGGTCACTGCTCATGAGCTGTATACCTGTAGATTATACATAAATGGTGCTATTTCTTAGTGCATACTTTTATATTTACTTCTGACATGCACAGTGTTGTTTATTTCAAGAGATTAAAGGAAACTTTGTTAGTCACAGTAAAAGTTTTAATTCTACTTTCACTCACTTCAACATCTCTGTATCAGAAGGTCAACAGCAACACGGTGACAGATATCTCCACACACAGCGGATGTCGAGTTGAGAGATGTGTATGTGATGCTCAGAAGTGCAACCAGTGCACAGGCACAGACGCACAACACGAGCAAAAGCGAGAAAAACCACATCCTGTTCCCTGAAGTGGGGCAGAGACGCCACTTCACCACTGCGACCTCCATCTTTTTCTTTTTCTTTTTTTTTGCTTCCTTCCTTTCTGGGTCTTCAGCTCAAAGCTGAGTGTCTGCAGGCCTGAGTGCAGAGCGGGCTCAGGCCTGCAGACAAGTGGGTGGATAACACGCTTATAGTCTTCTTGGGGTTAAGGGTGCTAAGTGGAATTGATTTGGTTAGCAGGAGTATGCACTCAGAATTAAGAGTCATATTTTGAAGAACTGTCTCTAAGTACCTTTTTGAGATGCAGCAATAACAACATGCGGTATTCATTCAACCCTTCACATCTTGTGTGCTGGTGCTTGGTGGCAACCGTGACTTAAAAGGAGAAGAAGAAAACTTTTTTAAAGTGTGATACGACTAGGTTAGAATTAGCAGCACTGACAAGAAGAACTAAAAGCTGTGGCCAAAACTTAACACGAAGCTTCCTGTCGCTTAATTTGCCTTCTCGATGAAAACACACCACAGACATTTAATTCACTGATTAAAAATTTGTCCTCCTAGTTTTCAAATTCATTTCTTACATGTCTGACTTTCCATTTCCCCCCTTGCTTCAGGGTGTCCAGTACCTGGTTGAAAATGGCCTTCTCGAATGGCGGGCAGAGTCTGTGGCAGAGTTTCTTTACAAAGAGGAGGGGCTCAATAAGACCGCCATAGGAAACTTCTTGGGAGAAAGGTGGAGTATTAGTATAAGTTTCCCTGCTCCTTCTTTAAAGTTGTGAGATTTAACTAAAAAACATTAACGTGTGTGCTGAACTTACTAAGCAATTTAATGAGAAACTGCAGCAGGTTACTTTAGACCAATTTATGTAGGTACGTTAAAAAGCCACCAAGATTCACTTTTCACCAGTTTTCCACCCACATACATGATTGGTTTCAGTTTGCACACTAAACATAAAACCATATATCCACCTCTCACAATGGAGTGTTTTTTTGTTTGGGTTTTTTTGGGGGCTGTAGTGTTAGGGGGTTGGAGGGTATCATCAGGGGGGGGGAGCTGTTTTGAAAGCACCATTTGATGGTTTCAATGTTCCATTAAATATTTTCCAGTGATGTGTGAAAACATTTGTTTGCCCAAAATTTGACATTTTTGTATTGTAGTGCACTCTGTAGACAGACAACCTTTTTCCAAAGGTTGGAACCATTTGTCAAAAACTCCTCTTTAAGATTTTACATAACAAGAGATGGTCCTTTGCATATCTTAAAATGAAATAAATACAACCTCAGATGAACAACAGCATGAGACACATTGCTCAGTGTCATTGTTTATTTAACAAATACTGAACCAAAATGCAGAAGCAACGTCTGAAAAACTGAAAAAGTGCACAGCATGATTCAGTATTTTGTAAAACCAATTGTTTATCAGATCACTTTCTGTATGAATTTATCGTTCTCTCACATCAGCGTGAGAGAAACGCAGCCCACTCTTCTTTACACAGTTGTTTCAATTCATTGAAATTCGCAGCATTCGTTTACGCAAAGCTCCTTTAAAGTCTCACCACAGCATTTCAGCCAGGTTGAGCTGTGGGCTTTTGCTGGGCCATTGCGACACCTTGATTCTTTTGTTTTTCAGCCATTCTGTCCTGATTTGCTGCTGTGTTTGGTATCATTGTCCTGTTGACCCAGTTTGGGACGAAGGTTAGACGAGGGACTAATAATAGAATAATTTGGTTTACAGAGGATACATTTAAAGACTGCAAGGTCCCCAAATCATCACCCCTCCTCTACTGTGCCGACAGTTGCTATTAGGTGTTTGTGCTAATATGCTAATAATGTGCATTATTCGGTCATGTCTTGTGGTTTATTCCAATCCAACTTTGCAAATCTAAATGACGCTGCCACGTCCTTTTTACAGAGAAGATGCTTTTTCCAGGCACCCCTTCCAAACAAGCCATACTTGTCATGAACTTTAACCTTTAACCTGCCTTTTTGTATTTCTTTGATCATTGTACCTGACCTTACAAGATGTTCCCTGATAGGAGGATTGTAGCATTGTAGGAACACAAACCTGAATGCTCCAGACTAGCATACTGCTTTTATAGTTTATTATCAGCTTATCAAGTGTAATTCATTAGAAATGCCTGGAAAAGGTGTACTTAGTTTGAAAATGTTCTTATTCACATGACTTCGTGACTTTCATGTATGTTGTGAAACCAGTGTGCTCTGACGGTAAATGTGTATTCTATATTTGAGCCTCATTTTGAGGGTTGTGGTTTTCATTATTCAATTATCTTTCATTGTTTTGGTTGTCACACAGGGAGGAAATGCACCTGAAGATACTGAAAGCGTTTGTTGGTCTGCATGAGTTCTCAGACCTGAATCTGGTGCAAGCACTGAGGTTTGTGAAAGGAAGCTTGGAGTGTTGCAGCAGTTTTACCTTTAGTCTTGCTTTCGTCCTTATTATGAAACCCTCCTCCTTCTTACCAGCCCGTGTGTGTTGTTTTTCTTTTTCTTCCACCTTTGCAGGCAGTTTCTGTGGAGCTTTCGTCTCCCAGGAGAAGCTCAAAAGATTGACAGGATGATGGAGGCGTTTGCAGCTCGCTACTGTGGCTGTAACCCCGGGGTCTTCCAATCCACAGGTACAAGCACAAAGAGGCTGATTCATTTTCCCACACACTCCAATTAAAACACACATTTTTGCTTCTGTAATTACAAAATTCTATACAAGACTCATCACCTGCTAAGAAAAATCTGCTTTTCTTTCTGAAAAATAAACCCAAAGCCAGAGAAACATCTCAGGCCTCCCTGATTAAAGTTAACAGATTATCCAATAAAACTTTTTTTGGCCTAAGCAGCTGTCAGCTGCGTACACTCAAGAAGGTGATGAAGAAAGCTAAACTGTGGTTTTCTGTTACAGACACCTGCTACATCCTCTCTTTCGCCATCATCATGCTCAACACAAGTCTCCACAACCCCAACGTGAAAGACAAACCCACTCTGCAGCGATTTGTTTCCATGAACAGAGGCATCAACAACGGCGAGGACCTGCCCACTGAGCTGCTCACGGTCAGCTGGCTTCATTATTTCATGGCTTTGTCAGGCCCTGCTTGTACAGTTAGGTGATAGAAAAACCAAGGCGCTGATTGGTGACAGCATTATAGTTTACTCTAATATCCTTTAAATGTATTGCAGAAGTACTGCAATGCTCCTTGGTCAGGGTGGTCAACTGACTGCAGGGCATTTCTTTCATCTCCTTACGCAGCTTACCCTTACTTCTTTAGTGACACCAATAATCTCTGATGGGTTTCCCCAGTAGTACATCATTCTTGCGCAGTGAAATGCAGTTATACCTTAAATCACCCTTCGTGTTACAGTGTTACCTCGGGGTAAAGTTTATGTTATTTTCAGCACTGACTGGAAGCAAGTTTGAACAGAAAATGTAATAGTTGCCTAAAAGTGGCTAGGCAGTAGATAATTTGAAAGTAAAGTAATGACGCAAATTAATGGTTGATATATTGGTTAAAGAGACAGACTAACTGTTTGTTAAAAGAAAAGATAGCACTTGAAATAGCTAGCTAAAATTAATAATATACTTCAGAAATCATTTAAAATTAACAGCAGCAATTTGTTTGCTAATTTTGTGTATACTAAGAAGAAACCACACTCAATTAACATACTTTAAATTATGACCAGTTGAAATGCTAAAAGTATAAATAAACTACATTTATGACAGAATAGCAGATAAAAACTTGGAACAGTTATTAGCAGTGTTATTTAGTTAATAACATGATTAAGTATCACCATCAGTTTAACTAATGTGCTAATTTAATGTTAGTTTTGGAAAAACAGCTAAAGTTAAGCTAACACTGGATTTGTTCAAGCATACTGTAATATTTAAGCAGGTAAAATGCTTGGCTAATAACATGACTAAATAAAATTAGCGACAAAATATGGCTAGTAGTTAAATGTTAGCTAACAGTTGAAGTCATTAGCTAACAGAGCAAAGCTGTTAGCTAAACGTTGCAGATTACTGGTTGAAATTAGTTACTTGAATAGTTAATTACAAATAATTAGTATATAATTTTATTAAATAGATAATAAAAGCAGTGAGTGAATGGTTGAAAAACGCAGTACATTATAGGTTGAAGAAAGCTAGTCCTTCCAGAGTACTTGAGTTTTCTTTAAATACTAAGATACTGTTCTTTTTACTTATTTAATAGACCTAACCATGTATCCCAACATGAAGTAATGTTATTTAAAAAAATCACTGTCATGTAAAAATATCTAAAAATGTTGGTATTGATCAGGCTAAAATAACCTGGTGATTTTATATGAGTTTATCTGGATGTTTAGGAATCAGGAAAAGACCCACATTTGGGGTTATTTCTTGATGGTTATCTATAGATTCAGGGATTTTTTTCGTTGTTTCATTGTCTTGTGTTTTTTTCCCTATTGATATGCTGATATACGTTAGGTTCCTTTGATGCTAATCTGTTAACCTTTAGTAAAAATGTCACATCTGTGTTTCAACATGATTTCTTGTGTACACTGCACTAAATTACGCAAATCAGAATTTTAAAAATGCTTATTCGATGTTTCTGTGCACTTTCAAATTATTTTCAGAAACTGTACACAAGCATCCGTAGTGAGCCGTTCAAAATCCCAGAGGATGATGGGAATGACCTCACACTGACGTTTTTTAATCCAGACCGCGAGGGTTGGCTCCTTAAAATAGGTGAGATGAAGAAACTAACACCACACCATAAACCCGGACTCCAAGACAGGACGTCAGAGCTTCTCTTTGCTCGTGTTTCTAATGTCTTGTTTGCTTCATTGCAGGTGGTCGAGTTAAAACCTGGAAGAGAAGGTGGTTCATTTTGACAGACAGCTGCTTGTACTACTTTGAATACACAACAGTACGTTTATTTTTTTTTTCTGCCGCTACATAAGTCAGACATGATGACAATAAAACATGGCCATGTCAAACATCTTCACTCTCATCCTGCAGGATAAAGATCCAATTGGGATTATTCCTCTGGAGAACCTGTGTGTCAGGGCACTACAAGACTCAAGCAAACCGGTAGAGCATCATTCACTTTCTGCATCACATTGTATGACTGCTGAGTTTCCACACACATATTATTTGCCACCCCAGCCCTCAATGAATCATACAGCAGTTGCTAAATGAATTTCTAGCGCAAGTGCTCAAAACAGTGAGTCAGGAGGCTATCAGAAGATTATTGAAATAAACAAAAGGCATATGCACACAGTAACGGTGCTACATGTGGGTCTGCATGTGTGTTTAAACAGTTCTGCCTGGAGTTATATAATCCTAAAGGACAAAAGATCAAGGCCTGCAAGACGGAGAACAAAGGCAGAGTGGTCCAGGGTAAACACCAGTCATATAAGCTCAGTGCAGCCAGCGCAGAGGAACGGGACGACTGGATAGATGCAATCAGGTGAGAGCAACTGATGTTGTAGAGGACACGTGGGCGGCCACGTGTGTCAGTGACTCATGTTTATCGAGGCTTAATGTGAAGCACATGATCAGGAAGAGTTCAAACAAGCAACAGTGATCAAACTTATATGACCTACATGTCATCTCAAATCTAAACCTGCAGTTTTATAATGCACTCATTGCCTGGTAACCATACAGAGCAAAGAAATCGTGTTATCTGTAGATAACCAATGGTTTAATAAAATAATAAAGTGTTAGCTAATTAATTTAAATTGCGCTGGGAGTTTTAAAGACTCTTGCGTGTTAGAATAAATATAACTAAACTTTCTACCTCACAGGCTGTTTTGTCAAAGCTACAAAGTAACAAATTGTTATTGTTTCTGACAGATATGCACAGAGTGTGCTTTTCATAGACACATTGAACCACCAGCTATGGCAAAATTAGATGCTTAATGCAAATGGGTTTGAAACAGTGACAAAATCTGCATAGGAAGGAAAGAGTCTGTGTTTTACATCCTCTTTCAGTTTTCTGGTGACTTTAGTTCTCTGCCACCTCCAGATCCCCTGTTATATTCATATGATGCCATATATGATCCCAAGAGGCCTTTCATGTCTGATGTCATTGTCTCAATTTAAGATTTATGTTGAGGGATGTTAGTCATGAGTGATGCTGCGTGGTTTGAATTACTCACTTTGAAAAAGTGCTGATCCCAAGCTTAATGGCCATACTGAAATCAGGCTTGGTTTCACATGGTGTGCACTATAGCCTACACCATGAGTTTAGTTAGTAAAAATACATTTCTATTATACATTTCTATAGAAATATGACAAAGTGCTCCATAAGAAAATGCAAAAAGACAAAGACAAAAGGTTGCCTAAATGAAAGGTCAAAAAGATGAGTTTAAGGTGCTTTTTCAGGCTCAGTGGGAGAGACTTCAAGAGTCTGGAGGTAACTGATGCAAAAACTCCATTTTCTTTAATTTTCAGCCTTTGGTGCTATATAGACACCAGACCTAATGGGGCCTGCTAGGGACATATGTATGTAGAAGTTCACTGATGTTGTGATGCTTGTGCTCACCTATTCAGAGCTCTAAAAGTCTAAACCAGAGTCTTAAAGTGGACTATGAAGTTAATGGGGAGCCCATGCAACTGAATTAGCAATGGTGTGAATACTTAGAGTACTTAGATATGTAACATGAGCATCCAAAGTGATGTCTGAATCAAAAGACATCCTACTAAAGATTCAGCAAAAGTGGGAAGGGGACCTAGAGTTTTCTTTATCTTAGACACAAATCTGCCAGAGCACAAGCAAGACAACTTTTGTCCTCATTTAGGTAGAGAAAATTGTCATCCATCTGACTTTTAATAGTCTAAGCACCTACGCGTAATCTGTAACTTAGAGGGAGTGACTATAACAGAAATAGTAAGGGCCCCAGAATAGAACCCTGTGGCACTCCACAGGCTAGAGAAGTGGAAGGACCTGAACTTAGAAGCAGGCACAGAAATGAAGAAAGCCACTCCAAAGCAGGCTTTTATACACCCACTTAGCATCTCAACCTGTCAAGCATAATGTCAGGTCATTATTTTAAAAGTGGGTGGGTGACATGCTTCACACAGTAGTGCTAATAATAATGTATAACAAGGATGTCAACCACATACAGCCCACTTTGATCTTAAGTGAAGTGAAACACTGTCAGTGTAAAGACATTTAAGTACACATTTAATCTCTGAGATATCTTAATACAAGATCAATAAATGTTCAATTTCAACAGCACAGCTCAGTTTTTCTACATGATAAAAATGTAAAATTACATAAAAATTTCTGGTAGCTCACTGCTCAGACTGTTCTGTTTTTATAAAATATAAAGTTTTTTGTCGATTAATGAAAAAATTCAGGTTTTTTTGTTTGTTTTTTTTAAAAAAAATGTGCCCTTTTTCATATTTTGCAAAACCGTCCAGCAGGCCAGATTTTAGTCTTTGCTGGGCTGATTTTGGCCCCCTGGACTTATGTTTGACATCCCTGTTGTTGGCTGGAAACTGCAAGACATTAAAAACACAAAAGCATTCAATGCAGGAGACGCTTGTACCCAGAAATCACTTGACAGCACTGATGCTAAAGGACTCCCAGTGTAAATTTCTCTGGCCTTGACAAAACATCAGTCCCTGTGCTTGTTAGTGGGTAGTCAGTGAGGGACGACGAGGGTATTCATTACATGAGCTACCATTTGGTTAGTTACACGGCCACAACATGGGATCATTATCAAAATGTATCACGCTAACATTTTTATTGGGCATTAGAAGTAGAATAGAGGCTGGTGGGAAAGCTGTAAATATTTAGATTCAAGTGATTAAGGGTTAATGCTAAGTTAGAGTGATTACAGTCATCATCAAGATTGAATATCTGAAAATGTCCATCTCAGTGTTCTTAAGATCATGCATTAAGAAAGGCCTACAAAGAGTTCAATAAAGTCATTTTACAGTCATTCTTTAGTGATTTCCACTCACCAAGGTTCTCAAAACTGAAAAAAATGCTTAAAACTGCTACTTCTACTGTTACTCGAAGGTCTTGGTTTTCAAACTAAATCTGTTAAATGTTGTTTCTCAGGGCGAGCATCACCAAGGACCCTTTCTATGACTTGGTGACACTACGCAAAAGAAAGATCATCAGCAACACTTCCTCAAAGGACTGACACAGCACCATCAGGGATCATGGATGAGTTTGACTGATGAATCATGTTTCATTTTAATGACTGCTCACGAAAGATACAACCAAAACATTATTGCTCTGTATTTCAAAGAACTGCGCAAATTGGGATGTGATAATTGTAGTGTAAAAAGGAGAAAAGTGAACCGTGGTTTTCACATTACTTCTGCAAAATGAATGCACTGCTGCTCCGACTTCAGGGGCGACAAGTCTGACGGACAAACATCTGCTGCAAAGCTATAACAATCATGAAAGTCTAACCCAGAAGACATACAATGACCACAAAAAGACTCAAACGACTCCAGAGAGCCATAAAACAACTACAAAGAGACAGAAAACGAACTCAAAGAGACATAACAAAGACACAAAAGGAGACTTCAGGGACATAAAACGACTTTAGACACAGAAAATGACCACAAAGATTAAACAGCTTCACACAAAAAAACACAGATAGACTTGAGCAAGACATAAAATGACTAGAAAGAGACACAAAACAACTGCAAAGAGACAGAAAACAACTTCAAAAAGAAACAAAATGTTTTTGAAGTGAAACATATTGACTTCACTGAGACACAAAATGCCAACAAAGTATCAAAATATAAATTGATGCACGCCTTTTAGACATGCACACTTTTCTGTTAATATGAAAGCATCTGAACCTGTCAGCTTATTGAATAAATGTTCACTGTGGTCACTTTGTTGTGAAAGCTGAGATGGCATTTGCTCGGTCAGACCTGGTAGCATTTATGTTACAGATTCAATGCATGCATGAATAAGGTTGGAATTACATGTGCCTTTACTTCATCTTCAGTTCCTTTTTAAAAAATACTTACAAAAGACCAACGTCTGGCACCTTTTCACATCTGATGTCAATGTGTCATAAACCAGCATTTGCAGAGACTAGAGGTCTTGTAGGGTCACTGTTTTTAAGACTACAGCTAGATTCCTAAATTGGATACCTAGAGAAAAACAGGTAGTTGTCAAATCTCAGCACAGAAACTTCATGAGTTTGGTTTAGGACCACAGCTGGATCTACTGATGAAGTGAATTCAGAGATTGAATTTGAGATTGAAAACTCGATTTCTTTTGAAAGTATCTCCCATCATGGTGTCCTTGTGCATGCAGCCACTGGCTGAGATAACAGAGAGAGCACAAGTACTGGTTTTCAATAATGTTTGCATGATTGAACTTCAATACTTGCAGGAGGAAAAAAAAACTTTTATTGGAATATAAGAAACAGAAAGATCGGCTTAACACTGGTCTGACTGAGTTTTATGACCACCTAACATCAAAGGACTGAGATAACAGAAGAACGCCACAACTTTTGAAAACTGTCAGAATTTAATTTAGACTTTAGACATTTGTGTGCAGCCAAAAATGATTATAAAAGTAAAATATCCCTTTTTATTGTACACTGGAAAAAATCGGAAAACGTATTCAGGATCAGAACAGGTCTATAAACACTGTAGAGAGCCTTTCTTGATTCATTAGTTCCCAGTTTAACTTGGATTAAACCCGATGAATCCAAGGTCCACTACTGATGATGTGTCCCAAATTTTAAAATGATAAACTAGATTAGATCCCTAATCCCTAAACCTCCCTTATCAGGGACTGTAACATCTAGTCCTTTTTACTGAATCAGATTAAATCTAGAAAGGTTTCCAATGAAAACAGCATTGTCCAAACAAATGAGACTCAAGGTCAAGGTTTGACACAGTTATCGGGATCTGAATTAGGTTTGTGGCTTGCAGCTATTTATAGAAGTCTTTCTTTTGCATTAATTACAAATCTGCAGCATCAGACAGCAGCAGGATTCGTCTGTGAGCATCTAAAACGAGAGAATAAATGCAACCAAATAAAAAATGAAAGAATGCTGTCATTTTAACAGAATAATGCGAACTGAAAAGGAAACAGAACTTTTTTTGTGAACCTAAAGAAATTTTTACAAAAATTAACCACAGAAATGAAGCAACAACACAAATACAATGGCACAGATGTTTCTGTATGTGTACTTGTAAACTCTTAGTCTCCCCGTGGCTGCAGACTATTTGAAGTTACATATATTTATTTGTTCATATTAGAATATTTAAAGTAGATGATTTTACAGACCAATGTAGCAAATAAAATGTACAGGTTATTGTAAATGTGTATCAAACAGTTAAAAAGCACTCGTACTTGTTTCTTGACCCTGATGTGCTATAGTCACACTTTAGCTTGTGTAAAAATGCATTTAGCACTTTTGTAAACCTGTTCCAGCTGTTTTGTAAATGAAAATATGATTTTTTTTGTTATTGTATATTCAAATGAATTTTAAGTTATAGATCTTTGTACAGCATGTTTTAGATCATTTTTTGTATAATTTAATGACTTTATACTTGTGTGGTAATCAAACTACTTTTCATGTATTAAAGTATATCGTATATTAAAATTGTGCAGTTCTTGTTCCAGTAGATGGCGCTACTTTACCACTCCACACCCTTTCTTTTGATCAGGAAGCTCATGCTGAATTATTAACCCCAACAGTGACTCGCTGAATATGTTAACCAGATTATTACTGTGATGATTACTGTGCGAGGTACGACATCATATCATCATATGTTATCTTGTTATTTTCGCTCCTGTTATTATCAGATTAACATGATATGTGATGTGTGGAGGCTTTTCCTGTGAAGATGTAGCATGTCTGATGTTGCGATAGAGTTGTGGTTTCCTGGGAGCAAACATGCAAGAGAGAAAAAAAATATATATATATATCTTCTCACAGCTTTATTCAAACCTACAGCGTATTGGCTCATTTCTTTGTGCCAAAGAAACGTGTTTCTTTATGCAACTTTGCATCATCTAACCTTTGTGTTTGACTTCTCACAGAAAATAATAGCTGAAAAATTTAAACCTATCTCCCCTCAAAAGTATGTGAACCTACACAGCTCAAACTCAAAGAATGAAGTCAAAATAACTCTGTAGTTTTCTTTGTCAATTTCATGAATATTTCTCTCACAGTAGCCTGATATGGTTTATGTTTATACCACCTTATCTGCCACTCATAAAATGACACATACCAAACCCATATTAGTCAGCATAGTAAACAGTCACATGTTGACTCGTGGTTATTGCAAAATGATCACTCCAGCTAAAAGCACGCTCACTGCTCCGCTGTTTGAAGGGGGCGGACAGATGTGTCCCGATTCGGTCAGACGGTGAGATGTGTGCACTATTTGGAAACAGTTACTTTGAAGCAAACTTACTTATTTCCACTTTCAAAGTGCCATGCCTTCTACTTTAGAGTCTTGGTTTGGATTCTTATCTGTAAAAAACAGAAACTCACTCAATCAAATTACAAAACGGTCTCACAGGCTGATTGGTGAGCCACAGCTGAACCCAGCATCCTTGCACAGCAGGCAGATGTTTTCACTGTTACACCCTTCACACAGTGAGTTTCACTCTCTTTCTTTCTTCAGGATGCAGGTTTACAGTCACAAAGTGCAGAAGAGCACGGCATGAAAGCAGGTTCCTGGAACCATCACTCGCATGAGTAAACAGCTTTCATGTGTTACTATTATTATCACTACGTTGTATTAGGCTTACCTGCTTATGCCATGCATGTGAGGATGGAGGGCTCCTGTGTGGACGATCCAGTCTATCCACAGGTACAAATAAACTAACGTGAACTTGATCTTTTTTGTTTGTTTGCTTTTTTCAGCCGGTTTGGAGGCTGCAGAATTAATTATTAAATCGAGAAACTTTACTGCTAACATCCATATTTCACGTGTGGCTAATTACACTTACAGTATTTAAATATGGGCAATATCAGTCCCCTATGAGACGTGCACGAGCAAGTCAACACTGAGCTCAGTGTTTAGAGCAGAGGTGTCAAATTCTCCTCTGTTCGCCATCTCAAGGGGTCTGGACCATTAAAACCATTGTAATCTACTTGGCTACCAGTACAGACTAGTATAAAAGAATGTCTCCCACTGAGTTGTGGTTGATTTGTGCCATTTTGAAGCTTCGAACTGAATGTTTTCACAGTTACCATCTGTGTTTTAAAACAGGTGTGATGAACGAGGGTGTGAAACTGCACACGCAACTGCTAACAACTTGTGATTAAAAAATAGTTCGCCGAGGAAATACCCAAGATAATTGCACTTTCTGACTCTTAGAGCAACCACAATTTGCAAAAGTAACTTAATGTTTTTTTCAGTATGACTTGAACTTATCAACTGAGCAGTCATGTCCCCTTGGGCTGCATTCAACACCCTGATGTACAGCTTCAATTGATGTGTATGATAAATGGACTCGAAGCACTAAAAGTGCTTTATACAACTTACACAACCGATAAAGATGTTCAACCCAATATCACGGCAAAACCTTGGTGGACTGGCATGGCTGTTACATGTTTTGCTGTGATACTGGGTTTGGGAGGTTTTGCTTTGTAGTGACTATAAAGGAGTTGAAGCCAGGAGCGGTTGTTTTGTTTTTACATAAACGACTTCATCCTAAATATCAGGATGTCAGCGCCTCTTCACTGTTATGGGGAGTGACTCCAGTCAGGTGAGTGACTTAAATACTGCGTGAATTCTGACTGTTTGGACAGTAAAAAAACACCAACACAGCCACCGCAGCATCTATCGGTTAGTGAAGTTTTTCTGTGAAAGTTTTGAGCTGAGCATTATCACAAGCAACATCTTGGCATTTTCAAAACAGGATGTCACAAATGAGAGGTGAAACTGAGGACAGTGTACATTTATAAGAACTTGCAGCATGATTTTCTTTTCTTGTTGACCTTAAAAGGAACCAAAACTTCTAAAGTAACCTTCATCTGTCATCCAATAAGCCTTTAAACTAGAAGCGGAGCACATGAGGTCATCAGGAAAGTGGTTACTGAGGTTGTAACCTAAGTAGGAAGTAGAATTATTATTTCCCCGAAGGGGGGAAAATCCCAAAGTGCAGACGCAATATTCAATCGACAACTGTATGATCAGTTCTGTTTGTTAGCAGCTTTCAAGATATCATTTTTAAATTTTGTGTGATTGTAGGTAACAATAAGAGCTCTTTTATGTTGCCCACAATTTATTTTTAATCGTGTTCAAACTTCACACCAATATGCTAGGCCGTGGGGTGTGCAAAATGGCTAAGCATTTGACCTTGAGCTTGACTGTTGGCGCCCAAGGTCAAAGTTGACGATGAATTTTTCTTTTTTCAATAAACCGCATCGACTAATATATCAAATGAAAGGGCATGGCAGGAGCTGTACAACACACTTTTTGTTTTTTCAATATGATGCCCTATTATATATGTATTCTAATTTTTGCCTCATAACTTTTGCACTGTCCACTTCCTGCTGTGACAAAACAAATTTCCCACGTGTGGGACTAATAAAGGTTATCTTATCTTATCTTATCTTATAGTATAGTGATGCCATAAAGTTTTAAAAATTACACACTACATAAATATCTTAAAATCTCAAGTTTTTACAGCTTGCAGAAGCCAATTCTGCTCTAATCATACAGGGAAAATTAATAAAATACACCATTTTAATATGTAATGCCTCAAAGTCATGTTGTTGTAAAAGCTGGCTGATGTTAGCATGTTGTAATTAAAACATCATAAAACTTAAAAGTTTTAGTATACCCCTTGCAGTACTGGGGGGCAAGCAGCAAGCAGTCCTCAAAAAGCCATAAATAAGAATGTGTCTAGCTAAAACAGGTCACATGACTCGCAGCACCATCCTGTGGTACAGAAAGGTATTACAGAAAAGTACAACCCAGCCCTAATTTGGCTTCAGTTGATATCTCTTATATACAATACAGACACGTTTGATTTTTGATTTTGTTAGAGCTAGTTAATCGCTTTATTTAAACACAGAAATTTATAATAAGCACCTTTAAATTCACCTAACCCTCCCCAAATAGGTTAGTGACATATATTGTTGATCAATGGTCATGAGACTTTGCATAATTATGATGAAGAAACTGACCTCACAGCCTTTGTTCAAAGGAAGCTTTGTTCCTTCAGTGGGCTGGTTTCAGTCATTATTTAAATGCACTGTTTCTAAGGTTGGGGAAACCTGCAGTCAGCTGAGACTGAAGAAGGCACTTGCATGAGTGACGAAATGTTTCTCCCACTGAAAACGCTACGTCCAGATGAACAGAATCAACTTTTGGGGGTTAGCGAGATACAACGGGTTTTCACTGTGATGAAGGCGACTGCAGTCTTACCCTTACATCATCATGGTAACTAATGCTAAACTCAGAACCTGGTCCTGAGCAAATTATGTTCAGGGCTTTGGTTTAAACTCTTCTGTAGCTCAACATTTTCACTGATTTTCTCCACTACAATCTCTAACTGGAGTAATTAACTACTGGAGAGAAACGAAGCAGTGTGCAGCAAAGTTACACCAGTGCAAAAAGCACCACATATTTAGAAGAATAGACATTCATTCAGTTGGTCCTAGTGTACCCAAATTCCATTTTCCACTGCTGGAATTATGGCTAATAGATCAGACATTAGAAAATTAATCAGTCTGTATGCAGAGTAGATAAAATCTGATTAATTTCTCTGTGATCTGACCACAAACTAATTTGTAGGTCTCTGTCATTGGCCTCTACGACTGTCAGACATGAATGGACTGATACTTAAATGTATCCAGTTTTCTAGACAGTTTAAATCACCTGCAGCATTAAGTGGTGAAACAAATATGTACGTCCACTCATGGAGACAAAAAGTTACAATTTTCTGCAGCATCACCAACTCTTGACTTGTTTTTAACATCAGAGTGGATTACTTTTCTAGCTTACTCTATCTGATAATATCTCTGACCGAAGTAGGCGGTGCGCAATCGACCCAGATTGTATGGAGGAAGAGTCAAATGATGCATTTTAAATGCTCCTTTACTGTCAGAGCCTGATACAGAAAGAGTTCAAGCTGCTAACCAGTGTGATTTCTCTTAAATCTGACTTGAGTTTTATGTTAAGTTGGGCAATTAAATGCAAAGAAGGCCTGACTTTTTATGTTGAACCTGCTTCATAGTCTAAGCCTCAGTTATTGGCTGAGAGTTATTGACTTTTTTTTTTTTTTAAATAAGCACCAAACTGAAAATCTATAGGAACTTGCTTAAGGTCAGAAAGAGGCACCCCTCCCCATCTGTACCCCTCACCACGAAGCAGCACTCAGCTATAGTTCACCAGGAGACATCGTGTTCCTTCTAACTTTGTAAGCAGCATAAGACCTGACCCCCACCTCCTGCTGTGCAGTCAGGCAAAGCTTTGAATATTCGCTGTTGATCTTCATCAAATCTCAGGGCTCAAAAAGCGATCTCCCCTGGTTTACATTTCTGAAAATAACAGGCTATCTGTCTGCATGCTGCTCTTTAACTGACACCAAATCACACAAACACTTTTTTTTCCCTTTTGTTTTTATTCCATTTCTGCAACAGTTCAGATCATTTGTGTCTCAAGTGGTTCTCAAGGATTCACATTTTATTCTCCGACCTGTTTCACCTGCATATCAAAACAAAATCCCAAAGTGCAGACGCACAGTTCCTCATACATTATTCACAGTCTGTACAACACACTCCCATAAACACTGTTGCCAAGGGTCCTCAGTAAGGTTACACTCGGGTACAACACCACGTCTGATCACTTTTCCTGTCCCCATGGAGACCAGAATACCTAAGAGGTGTTATGTAATCCATCTATGTCACCTGGATCAGTCATCGGCTGCTCTCTCAGTCTTTAGGTCACGAGTGTAAAACATGAAAACACTTTAGTTGTAAAATAACTTAATACCAAAAAAGTGTAGAAAATACATTTAATAGTGGCAATAAAATCTCCCATGAGCACTTTGGCCGAAAACGTCTCGAGGGAGTTCAGCTGCAGCGTGTCTCTAGTGTTGACCTTCAGCTCAGCCTGAAGCAGCATACGTGTCCAGAGGGACAAACTGCACTCATTTTTCGTGAAGAAACGTCAGCTGGTTGCAGTGAGGCGATACAGAGACTCACCCGCTGCAGCAGGTTTAACAACCAGACCCTAAAGTGTCCGAATATCCTCGTGTTTTTTCTCATGATTGGATGCAGTTCCTCTTCTGATGCCGGCGGCGACTTTTGAACCCTGTTGGTAAATAAAAGGGGAAAAAAATCCTTCAATTTAATTCACAATCACAAACTGCGGTCACACAATAACTGATTCTTGACCATGACGAAACGAAAAACATTAATATTATCGACAGACATCACAGGGCTCCTGCAGGTCCCTGGAATATCTTTAAAAATGCTAAGGATTCAGAAAGGTTCAAATGTTCTCTTCTTCTGACACTGCAATTTTGAATCTCCTAGTAAGATAAAGTGCTTTGCAAACACTCGGCAAAAGATATTTTCCAAAATGTTTCAAACAAACAAAAAAGGTTTGAAATTAAAAGGGTAAAAACTTTTACGATGTTCTAGTGTCATGTACATCTAGATCTAGATTCAAAATCTAAATATTTAACACCACCGGAAATTTAATTTGAAACTAAAGAGCATCGTTTCAGCTACTTGCCATTTAACGTGGACCAGAAATGAGTTGATTTGATGATAGAGGCTTTAATGTGAGTGTATCAGACAGAAAATCCTGGACTTTCAAAAAGTTTACATGTTAGTTTGTAACTCTACTTTTTAAACATTTTATAGACAAAGCATTCAGGAAATATTTGCCTTGTTGCTCACTCGGACCACTGAATTATAAAATAAAAGATCTGTGATGACGCACCGTCTTCGTCTGCCGTGCTGATGGTCTGCATAGACACGCTCCTCTGAATGAACTTCGACGGCTTCTTGATTTTGGTTTTCAGTGGTCCTGGTTTCTCAATGAACTGAAACGAGTCGTCGGATTCATTTCCCGCAACCCTGTTGGCCACTGAGACTTTACAGTCTGCTGTGATAGTGGGGGAGGGGCTCTGAGGAGTGACCACGCCTTCCTCGATAGTGTCTGTACTGTGATTGGCTCCTCTGCCTTTCAAGAAATGCCTGAAGGAGCTGCGCTTTTTGGGTCCGTCTGCCTGGTTCTTCTGACCTCCTTTTCCATCCTCCTCTGTAGGTGAACCCGGACTCTGTGGGGAGGCTCGGTCCAACTTTTCCTTGTTTGCATTGAGAAAGCCGTTCTGCAGACCGTTCCTCTGGTTCAACCCACCTACTAGCGAGTCCCTCTGAGTCGACAAGTCCTGTAGCGAACCCGTCAGACCCAAACTGTTCCCGAAAACCAGCGAGTACTTGGGATTGTGGTACTTATGCGCAGGAACTTTCAGGTCAATCTGCCTGGAGTCCCCAACCGATACCTGAAAGCGAGATGTAGTGACGGGCAGAGGCCGGATGTGCTGCATCTTTGGCTTCATGACTGGTGTAGGAAGAGGCGGCTTAGTGATGTTGAACTCTCTGTACAGGTCCACCTGCTCAGACACTGCGTACAGCTCTCGGAAGTCGTTATCAAAGAAGTCCACAGTGTGTCCCGACATCACCGTGATCATGTTCCTGTCCAGCCGGGACGAACTCCAAGTGAAGCTGCAGAAAAAAAAACAGGAGCGTAAACCAAAGCGGTGATTTAAAGTGGACAAAAAATATGAGATAAAACACCGGGAGACACAACTGCTTGAATTTTATTATTTAAGGCCATTTAAAGAATATATACATATACACACACTCTCCTATTTAGCAGGTTTTGGCTAAATCCAACAAACTCAGAGGTCAAACTGGGCTTTTTAGGGCAACAAGAAGTGCTTCCAAGTCTAGTCAGCAGGTTCAGTAACCATTCATCACAAGCTGCTGAGATTCACTTCAATTCAATTTTATTTAAATAGCTCCAAATCACAACAACAGTTGCCTCACAGTGCTTCAGTATGACCTATCCCATGTCCTTGCTTCCTTTGTAACAGCTACATCACCATTTTCGGGTCTTTCAGATGTAAAAATGTAAACTGTGTAAATTTTGGTTAAGACTGGAAGAAATTTGTGACCATTTGATGAAATCCAATATGGCGGTTATGTCAGGGGTGTTTCCATGTGTCGGCCGTAAGTTTTCACGCTTCTTTTCACTGATTAGTTTTTTAAGGCTAACATCAGCATCACCAAATGAGACCACAGAACAAATTTCATGCAAATTAAGTTACTTTTTTTTTTATAGCAACAGGGCCACATCTCCACAACAAGGCATCTCATGGAGCTGTAAACTGATGCCTCAAGCTATGGATGCAGTTATCCAACAAACACTAGATACACTTTAGATCTTACCGTTGGTGCCATATTTTGTGAGACTGCAAAATTGGTGGATAGTGGCAGCACAAAGTCAGGTTATAAGACGATCGATGGGAACTTGTTGAGGCAAACTTTGCACATGGTTCCTCCATGAACACAGCGCCAACTTTGACCCTTTGGTGGCGCTACATTGTTTGAGATGCATGCATTAAATTTGGTGAAAATTAAAGATGTATAAAAATGCCGACTCAATACGGCTGCCTCTGTAGAATCACTTTTGAGCCCTCGGTGTTGACCACATAGCTGCAGCCTGTAACTTTTCTATTTAAACTTGCATTCATAATGAGGCATCACGCATGAGTCAGGACATGACTGTGCTCATTTCACCTGCCACAAATCGGTCCCTCCAGTTTTGACTTTAGTCAGTGAAGGAAGATTCGCCTCATCACTGATGTGGTCAGATGACGTGCATTCAGACTCATTTTGTTTGTTTGCAGCTTTCAGAACAGCGATTTAACAACGAGAATACAGCTGTGTGGATCCTGTCAAACTCGGAGCTCAGAGGTGAAATCGAGCTCTTTTGCAATTCTGAACTTTGCACTAATGGTTGCAGCTGTTTTATCAGCATGTATGTAGTTATGGCAACACAACATCTAAAACTGAACAAATGACATTATTTTGCCTTTATGTAGACTAAACTGTATCTAAGAAGTCTTTCTGGGATGTGCAACAACAATAGATTTTTATGTTTCAGTTCATTTAAAGCATATCAGTGCACTGCATGTGTCTGGCTCTTAATGTGATCTCCATTTCCCAGTGCGGCCATCACTAACATTCGATTTAATGTCCTGGATTTAGATTTTTAAAAAGATAAATGTTAGCTTTTGTCATAGCCCAATCTGCACCAGAAACTTGATTTATTCAACACGTGCAAAAATGCGTGTACTTCCTGTCATTGCTGCAGGTTAAAAGGAATCTTTTTCTTTGTAGATTTGCATTAAAATTACTGTTTATATTGATACCTGACATTTATATTCACTGTTCATACTGATATGACTGCTATACGGAAACGTAGGCTCGATGTTTTTTATGCCGTTAACTGTATTTAGACGTGCACTGATTGTTATATGATCTCCCCCCTTCTGGGTTACATATGTTCACCTCTGCAGAATTCTTTTTATCCTCAGCAGCGATAAAATTTATCTATTTGTTTGTTTGTTTCAAATCTTTAATCGTTCATTTACTTGGTTTAATGTTGTTGTGATTTGACACTGTATGAAAAAAACTTAATTGAACTATTAAACTAATAAATAAGGTTTTATTTTGATCCCAGAATGTGCTGTAAAATGCTTCAGCTTACTACAGCAGTCATGCACTGTATATGCCAAGGGCTTTTAATGTGAAGGATAAGGAGAGAAAGCCCTTTTTTGTGTGGATCTGGCAGCGGTACCATTTGCAATACTGGAAAAAGGTTGCAGAATAGAAAGGAACAGAATAAAACAAAGCAATGTATTACTACAATTAAAAATGAGTGAGGAAGATAAGAGAGGTACATTGAGTACAGACAGAGGCTAAATGCCTTTAATTTGTGGATATTGCAACCAAAAAATAAAACAAAAAAAATAAACTTAATCAACTGTAGAAATCTTTAAAAGCTGGATAATTAATTCACCCGCATCACTGCCTGGTGTAGGATTTCATTTAAATGTCATACTTTCACCTAGTGTACGTTTTTTTATTGTTTTAATGGTTTCTCTGAAACTACTTAATCATTTTAAAGCACTCAGGAGAAAGCGGTACGATTCCCTTATAATAATCTCCCAGGTCATAAACGTCCGGCTCGGTCACCAACGACATTTACCAAAAAGCGGACCTACAACAATACATTTATCTTTTCCCACACTGAACCAACAGCAGATAAGAAGAGAGTGTGTTTAAAAAGCACTTTAGTCATTTTACAAGATTAATAAGCTTCAGAGTGTGTAAGGAGTTATTTGGAGGTTTAATGGAGTTCCTTTTGTGCCGGCTGCTTTTAGAGAAAATGTCTCACACCTAACAGTCACAAACAAGCTGCTCTCATTATGTTGGGTTTACACAAAAGATACAAATAGTCAATCAAATGAAGCACAAATAATGGTTATTTAATAACCATATCAGGATCAGTTAATCTGCTTTGGAGTGAAACTGTGTCAGAGGGACACTGTATTATGTGTAAAAGTGAAACTGTCCAAATGAGTCTCAATTGTGACTCTGAACATGTCACCGTAACATGGAGTCGAATATAGGAGGTCAAGCGGTTCAAAGTTTTGACCAAAAACAAGATACAACTGGACTCGGCACGCTAAGCTGGACTTTTATTTTGAAGGATTTTCCATTTCCCAACGAGAGCATACCTTAATTACATGATTTATCTGTTAGTGTGAATATTTAAATTCATCCCATTCCTTACAGCATATAGAGACATCAGAAAACAAACACCTTGCTGTATATAGTATAATTTAATTTTTGTACAACCACAGTTCCTAAAAAGTTGGGACGCTGTGTAAATAGTAAATAACAACAGAATGCAATCTCATAATCCTATATTTTATTCAAAATAAAACACAGAAAGTATCAAATATTTAAACCATTTAAAGAAAAATCTTGGCTCATATTGAATTTGATGGCAGCAACGTGTCTCAAAAGAGTTGGGACAGGGCCGTGTTTCCCACTGTGTAGCGTCCTCTCTGCTTTTAACAACACTCTGTAAACAACTGAGGAGAGCAGCTGCTGGACTTGTAGAAGAGAAATGTTCTCCCATTCTGGTCTGATATAGGACTCGAGCTGTTCAACAGTCCTCTGTCTTCTTTGTCGTATTTTTAGTTTCATGGTGCTCCCGGACTGCTGGCTGGTCAGTTCACATACTGCATCTATTCTGTGCTATTCTAATAGAAACTCTGCAGTTTAGCTGAAAAAGCATTGTCTGGATCGGAGCATATGTTGATCTGTAGACTATATGCACCTTTCAGTAGCAAATGTAGGTGTGCCGGTAGATTTTCCAGATGTGCAAGCTGCCAGTTCAATAGGCACAAAGGCATGAGATATGAAGATAAAGACAGAGAAGACAGGACGTCTTTGCATGATGGAGCTTTAACCTCCATTTGTGGATGGCACAGTTAATTGTGTTCACAGACAGTGATTTCTGAAAGCTTTTAATGCAGTGCTGATTTTCAGCCTTGTCACTTGCACACAGAGATTTCTCCATATTCTCTGAATCTTTGGAAGATTGTGTACTCTAGATGACGAGACATAGGTTTTCTCAATTTTACACAATTTGCAGATGCAGTTTAATGAAAATTAGTGAACCTCTGCCCATTTTTACCTCAAACATCTTCTCTAAGATGTTTTTAGACCCAATCATGTTATTGACCTGCTCCCAATTAACACAAATACTTGCAAAACATTCCTCCAGCTATTTTCTAAGTACCACTTGTCCAGCCTTTTGTTGCTCCATGACTTTTTGAGACATTTTGCTGCCACTGAATTCAAAATAAGTGCATATTTTTCATGAAATGTCTCAGTTTTCTGTGTTGTGTTATGAATAAAATGTGTTTATGGGACTTGCAACTTATTGTATTCTGTTTTTATTTACATTTTTCTTCTTCTGGGTGCTATAAAATCTTACATAAAATAATAAATTGAAACAGGTTGCTTTATCAACCTTTTCTGCTTCCTTTGAATGCACCTGACCACAAAAAGAAACACTGGTTTGATATTTACCTGTAAGACCCAAACATGACCTTCTCTCCATCCACCAGCATGTATTTGGAGCACAGGGAGCCTGGCAGTTTTCCAAAGGACAGGGCCAGCCCTGCACCTTTTAGCATCCGCACACGTAGATTCTGTAAAAGAAACACCTGTTGGATTACACACTGGCTTACCTGTGTCAAAAATGTCACACAGGTAAGCCTGAGTAAACGGACCCCAGCTATCGGGCATCCGTGGCTTTTTCAAGGATGACTGGCTGATTTACAGAGATGCCAAGTCAAATTTCTGCAGGCACACCCAGAAACATAAAGTCAGCTTTCATAATAAGTAAAGGCTAAAACCCAAACACTTCAGCCACCTCTGTTTACTTAGAGGGAAGCAGGAAACGAAAAGGACGTAAATGCTGAGTAGACAAACTGGGAGGAGGCTCTCCTGTGGTGTCAACCCTGGCGTGGGGTGAGAGCGTCAAGTTACTGTCCTTGGATCTGTTCTCAGGATCTATGAATGTTCCCTTGTCACTAGTAACAGTAACAGAGCCCGGCACTCTGAAAGGGTCTTTCACAGCCTTATAAACTGATACCACAATGGCCAGCCATTCCACCACTCCGGTTAAACCAGACTGGAGCTGAAAAACTCTGTATACAACAGATAAGACTGGGTATTATGACACGGTGAAGATAGGATGACAGATGACTCACTATTTGCGCTTAATCTAAATCAGCACCTAATGTCACTTCTCAGGTTCTGCACCACAAGAAGCAGCAATTACATGTTAGCTCGTGCTAGCGTCTGCTCAGCAGTCGATTTTCCAGTAATTCCTCAAAAATTATTAATTTGACCCTCCCTGTTTTACACTGGAAGGAAAATACTTCTTTTTATTTTCACACATACTTTCACACAAGTGCTCCAACAAGTCCATTTCCTCACATTTTATTGATTTCCTGCTGTTTATCAGTTTCCTAACCACTACGTCTGCTACTTTTAGCTAACTAGTTAAACTGTTCTTGCGAAACCTTTAATGATCTGTTTTAGTTACTTAGATAATACTTTTTCAGCCTCAATCTTTGACTTTTTTTATGACTGAACAATTTAATCAGTTACTTTAATCCTATTTTTAACCTATTTCAATCATTTACTTAAAATTTTAGCTAACCGCTACATCTGCTACTTTTAGCTAACTAGTGTAACAGTTCGTGCAAATCTTTGCAATCTATTTCAGTTACTTATATAAAATGCGTTTTTTCATCCTTAATCATTGACTATTTTGCTGACTTAACTATTTAATTTGTTAATTTTATCCCTTTTTAAAAACTATTTCAACCATTTACTCAAAATTTTAGCTAATCGTCTACTGTTTATGTTTTATGTTAAGCTGTATCAATTCTTTAAAAGTCCCATTAAAAACTACTCCATCCATTCAATGCTGGATACTTTTCTGAGCAGTAAATTGGCAGGTTTCACAAACGAAATTCCTGTAACTTCCAATGCACTGCTGCAAAGGCAGTTATGAGAAATCAAACATAAAACTACCCTTAGGGTTAAGTGGGAAAATGTAAGGTTTTTGTAGTTGGTTCGGTAAGTGTATTGCCAAGTTTTCCTGGTTCATGTTTTAACTAGATCAAACCTTTGAGGTAATTAACTTGTCAGCGATTTCCCAGAAAGCCTGGCCTATGATTCAGAATAAGTTTTAATCTGGGATAATTCCAGCCATCATCGGCATTGTTCCAGGACTCAGCAGTGACCTACTGAGCTGTTTTCCCATGTTCATTTCCTCTTTGTTTACTGTGTTAGAGAACCTCCTCTCTCTGCAGCGCTCTGTTTGCTCACCCGCAGATGCATCGCGTTAATCTGCAGCCGAGAGCACATATCCAGAAAGTGGGGCACTCCCCTGGCCTCCAGCACAACGTAAACTGCCACGCCACGCCGTGACGAAGCATCCAGCAGGTCCTGGAGAATCTGCAGGTCCGTGAGGAGGTCCATGACGATGGCCACTACCTGCAAGAAACAGACGAGAGAGGAGCCATCTCACGTTACTCGTGCATATCCATTAACACTTGTGCTCTTTTTCAGTTATTTGAGCAGTCATATTTTTTTTTTAATTTGGAAACAACAATTGCTGAACAAAAGAAGAAGACTTTAACAGCAAGCATACACAATACACAAGTATGTGAATATTATTCAAATATAATAAATAATTCACAAAATATTGAGACTCATTGGATTGAGGCTCTCAAAGTTTTAGTGCCATTTAAAGCAGATAGCATGTGACTGAGGGCATCCCCTAATGTTCGCACCATGTGTGCTCACCGCAAGCTGGTTGAAATTTTTATTTCAAAGCTAGTTTAAAGTTGTTTAACAGTTCATAAGGTGGTCCTGACTTCCATTTATACCAGTTCATTTGCTTACTGTTAAACTTAAGTACATTTTGCATGGCGCTACAGAGGCTATGAGGATGGTTGTGAGCAGTCAGGTTGGCAGTTCAACTCCAGATCCAGCCCCATCAGCAAAACTATTTCTCTTTTACTTTTGCTTTTTCATCCCACACATCTGAAATTAATTTGGTAGCCTTGGTGTGAACTTTAAAGATATTTAAAAAATGTAAACTCATGAAATGAGTCATGTAAAAATGCAGTCTATCTATACACACTTACACCCACTCTAACTGACAGATCAATAAAGAGCAGACGTCACGGTTATGTCACCGCAGTCGTGTACATAATAACAGAAAATATATGAAATAAAACCCGAAAGACGTTGGGACTAAGTAAAAAAACCAAAACCCATCTTTTTGTGCAGAAATGTAAGTTTCATTTTTGTTTGTTAAACAGACAAAAGAATTTCATACCAGACACACACATAAAGGCGAAGTCAGCAATAATGAATGATTAGAAAGGAGGGATCCTTATAGAAGACACCTTGTTACCAACTTTAACAGACAAAACAAATCAGTCATTTTCATTGTTTCTTCATTTATGTATCAGTCAATCAGCAGATATATTAGAATGTGTGATATGACACATTTATTTTTCACTATGACTGAAGATAAGCTCAGCTAAGCCTCTGGATTTAATAGTATCATTGCGGTCACAGCATGACCGAGCTAATTTATATTTGGCTTTAAATCTACACAGAATCTAGGCTGTAGGCTGTGCAACAGGCCGAAACCATTGCCAGCATTTATACTTGTGCACATTATGCTTGCGATGCTAAAATACCCGTTGGTGGTTGAGTTTCTCTATCCGAGCTGCTCAGTTCCCTTCCAGTCAGTTTGAAAAATAGCAGCACAAGAAGGACTAACCAGAAATGAGTTGAAGGAAATGACTGCACTCACTGCAACAATGCAACGAGTATTTTCCTCTCTAGAAAGATGCACGTCAGGTTACAGCACAAGTGTGTGGTTGCAGCATACCTATGATTTAGATATAAGTCTGAGTTCTGAACCCTGAAGTTACAGAGGAAGCATCCACGGATACACCAAGTCTAAACTTTATGTCCTCATTGATCACTTCATCACACAAATTTAAAGTGTCTTGGGCAACAAACTACATTTATGCTGTGGCATTCAGAGGGTAGGGTCACAATTTGGCTTTAATGACATGAAAGCACTTATCCATCCTGCCTTGTACCAGCATTTAGGGTGCTGACGGTGATGTCATGGTGTGGGAGATATTTTCTTGACTGTCTTAGTAACTGTTCAGCACTCAGTTTTATTGCTGACCGTGTCCATCCCTTTATGACCACAGTGTACCCATCTTCATATGACACAAAGCACCAAATCATCTCAGACTGGTTTCTTGAACATGACAGTGAATTCACTGCCCTCCACAGTCACCAGAGTAGAGCAGCTTCGGCACGTGGTGGAACGGGAGATTCATATCATGGGCGTGCAGCAGACAAATCTGCACTAACTCTATGATGCTTTTCGTGCTCTCACAATGGACCAAAACCCATGTTTCCAGCACCTTCTTGAATCTAATAAAGTGAATGGCAAGTGCACAGGTAATTCAGTAAGGAAATAAAAGCTGAAACCACTTCTGTTTTTTTCCTGTAAAACACCTCAGACCAGCCTGATGGGGAAAAGTCACGATTCCTGTGTATTTACTTTTAAATCCGGCTGCGGGATGCACCATTTAAACATTAAAACAACATCTGAATGTTTCCACCACTCCCACTGCCAGTCCGAACAAAGGCACCAGGGCGCTAACCTGTCATTAGTCTTTAAACACGCAACCTTCCACCACGGCAGCAGTTCACACTTCTGCATAACTTGTTTTTCTAGGCGATTAAAAGTTTTAGCAAAGACAGTTTGGACAAATGCCAGCAACGGCTACGACTCACAGCACCGCTAATCTGAGCAAGAAATCAGCAGCTACATCTCTAACAGATGCATTTATAACACTTTACAGCATACAGTTTAATTATGTACTGGATTTATTAGACCAATAAGACTGCTGTTTGTACTGAGATGTTTTATAGCCTCTCCTGGTTTTTGTACCCTTAAGAGCAGTTTCAAAAGACCATGTGACTCTTTTTTTCCCCATTTCCTTATTACAGTTTGTTTGGGACTCATCCAGCAAACTGAAACTAGTTCTCCAGAAAGACACGAGTTTGAATAACACAGTAAACCAGGCATGACTCAGTGAAGCTCCCGTCATCAAATTCTCATCCAAACTGCTTACGATGCATTTTATGTTGGAAAAAACATCTATCCAGAAAATGCTTAATCTGAACTATTTCAAGGTTTTCTGGAAATTGAAGCGTTATTTTCATACACGCCCATTTGGTATGGCTAACGGTTATTCCACCTGCCAAGACTGTTTTATTACATTGACCTTCCACGAGCTCTGGCTGATAAACCTGATAACATACACTTATTTTAAAGTAATAAAATAAGTGTATGTAGAAGTTCATTTTCAACAGAGGGTGAAACGAGGCCAAGCACAAGAGAAAGAAGGATTATTTTGAAACGTGACTTATGTAAAGCTACTCTTTTAGACTCCAAGAGTAAAAATATGGAGCTGGAAGTGAGCAGATTAGATCCACTTCAGTTGTAGTGGTTTACAAGTTCACCTAAAAGAGGTTTGGGCTGTTTGTCCACAAACAGCAGGTTTACGATGGCGCTGTTGTGAAATTTGAGTTTTTAAATCAACCACTCCTTTTAGGTGGGTACAGAGATTTGCCAATAGCATTGTGCTTTCAATGAGGGCTTTAAAAATTAATTAAAGGCACCTGTCAGCAGCAGAGAAGTATTTACATGACTCACAGTTCAAAATAACTCTTATTTGTCTTATACCAGCCTTTGGTGCAGACCCCGAGTTGCCCCTCTGCCTGACATAAACTGTTTCCGGTTTAGCCCCTCCTCCATTAAGCAAACTTTGTCTTGATTGGCTGGTGCTCATAAACATAAGGTTTGAACAGCAGGTGGGTAGGACTTCTCTGTAACACACAACCATCATCAGTAAGAACAACTGAAACAGTGTTTAGAGGCCTTGGCACTCAGGGTCCACCTGGAGCATAGTACCTGTGTATATTACAGGAAATAAGGAAAAACACAACAGTTCCCCCCATAGAGAAGTGGTTTAACAACCATTAGAACAGTTTCCAGGGTTTTTTTTTTTCAGGTGTAGCTGCATAAGCAGAGACCAGCCTCACTAACTTCTGATGCAAACAGTTATTTTGTTCTGTAAGAAGCCTGAAATACAACAGAAACAGTTCATAGCTCCAACAGTTACTCCTAGTAGGCGTCCTGGCAAATAAACGTCCTTGGACTTTCTATTACTATTATTGTCATTATTATTTTATATTATTGTTCTGTTTATTTTTATCCTGCTGCTAAACTAATTTCCACTTGTGGGACAATAAAGAAATTGAATTGAATTGAGAACTGGGATAAAGTGATGTCCACAGCTGACATATTTATATTTAAGCGAGATCTTTTCAAATGCCCACAGTTAAAAAACACACCTCACAGTCACTCTGATCCGATTTAGCATCAGTTTTTCAGCCCCGAAAGCCATGTTCATGTTTTATCATGTACAGACATCTAAAAAAAAGAATTTACACACAGTTTATTTAGTAGCTGAAGTGACACTTTAGACATGAGCAAAGATCAATGTAATATTTTTATTGTTACTTTTAACGACCTGGAAACACCTGGAGAGCTCTGTGTGTTTGTTGGCGAGTGCTGCTGCCAGTCTTTGTTCATGGCTGGGCTTCAGCTTGTTTTCTCTGGTATCTATCATCACGTGTGATATAATGGAAAACCTTCCACTGTGGCAAATTGGATCAAACACTTGAGCCCTGTGACGTGAATGGACAACACCTTGTGTAAATGACTTCTCCTGATGGGATTCTGGTGAAGAGCACCTTCTTCATGTGCATGAAAATACGCATGACATCACCTGAATCGAAGAACTCGTTGTTTTCTTTCCCTTTCAGGCGACATTTTCTGCTTTTTCTCTTGAATGCAGTTCGACCGGTAACTGTCACCCCGGCTCTTTCATATGTACATCTCAGCTCTTCTCTTGGATTGTGATAATGATCTCCTGTAGAGTAATGTTATGCATCCAGGATTAACGTGTGCGTGCGTGCACCACTTAAACTGCACAAGGACTCTTTCAAGTATCTGTCAGGCTTTTAGGAGGGGATGAGTTATTTTACCTGAAGGGGAGCAATCTGTGCCTGATTCATTAAGCTGACACGGCGCTGAGCAGACTGCTGTAGATGGATAATAAAGTGGATTATTAACTATTCAAATATGATGAGTTCTGCACATCTTTATTCGTCTTTCCACCCAGCAAATACAGCCTCTGGTGCTGCCTGTCAAAACCAATCGCAAGTGAGCGATTCTCCTCATTAGCTATGATTTTCGCACCTGGGATTTGAGCCAATCAGACAGAGTCGTGCAAAACTCTAAGTGGGCGAGGAGAAAAGTTTTTTTTTTTTTTTTAAAAGAGCAGCTTGTTAAATGCCAACCTTAACCTGGTCTGCAGGATCTTGGGGGAGGCTGCCACTCAGCCTTTCCCTTCTGCGTTTTAATGACTCAGCTTGTTAAAACTTGCACAGGACTCTCCCATTCATTTAGCTTTTATCATTTTATTTACCCACGCTGGCTTCGTTAACCCTCACCTCCTTCTACCTTACTAGAAAATTCTCTGAACAAGCGTTACAACAACGCTACTGCAGCGCTACAACTTGCAGATGCCCCTCAAACACGCCGTGTGCAGTTTGCTGGTCATTACATTTTGAGAAAAAGGACGTGAGGATACACTGGCGCAGTGAGTGTGCTGGTTAAAATCAAACAGATCTGAGAAAAGTTTCCGTCCGATTCCTTAACTTCAGTAACTTAATGAAACCATTAAAAAAGTGCGGCCTTCAGAATATGGAATTTGTCAGTGTTACAGCCTCTCACAGAAGTAGGCGGAATTTTGCCACTTTTACAGTTCTCATTAGTTTTTCCATTTGAGCATTTTTGAACCTTCATAACTTCAATCAATGAGATTTTCAAGGCTGAAAAAAACATTTAATCTCTGTTAAAACTTCCAACTAAATCAATTTTAGAAACACCAACTGCATCACAATGTTCCAAAAATATTTATTTTATCTTTAATTATTATTTATTTATCTTTATCTTATTTATCCACCTCCATTGTCAAGTTTGCTGACGACACTGCTGTTGTGGGCCTGATCTCCGACAACATCGAGACGGCCTACCTGGAGGAGATTAGGAACCTGGAGACCTGGTGCCAGGAGAATAACCGCTTCCTAAACATCAGCAAGACTAAGGAGCCGATCGTGGACTTCACTACAAAGCAGGCGAGGAATTACAAACCCCTCATCATCAGTGGCACGCCAGTGGAGAGAGTGGACAGTTTCCGATACCTGGGTGTCCACATCACTCAGGACCTGTCATGGTCCTGTCACATCAACACCCTGGTTAAGAAAGCCCGTCAGCGTCTCTTCTTCCTCAGAAGACTTAGAGACTTCCATCTGCCACTGAAGGTGCTCAAGAACTTCTACTCCTGCACCATCGAGAGCGTCCTGACGTCAAACATCTGCACCTGGTTTGGGAACAGCACCAAGCAGGACAGACGAGATCTGCAAAGGGTGGTGCGCTCGGCAGAACGCATCATTCAATCAGAGCTCCCTGACCTGCTGTCCATCTACACCAAGCGGTGCAAGTCCAAAGCTAGGAAGATTATGATGGACCTCTCCCATCCCAACAATGGACTCTTCTCACTGTTGAGGTCTGGGAAGCGCTTCCGCTCCCTTAAGGCCAAAACAGAGAGAATGAGGAGGAGCTTCTTCCCCCAGGCTATTCGGGGCCTGAACCAGGTGTAGGACTGGACTCTCCCAAACACGTCACTATAAGACTGGACTCTCACACACGTCACCACACGCACCACCACACATTTCCTATAATTCTATAATTCCTATAATTTATAATCCTTATCTTTATAATCTCTTCTGCTATTTGCACATTCTTTACTGTAAATTCCTAAGTTAATTTGTAAATTTTTGTAGTAAATTGTAAATATTGTAAAACTTTTCTTCTGTCATTTAATGGTCGGGCATTGTACAGCTACAAGCATTTCACCCCCATGTCATACTGTGTATGGTTGTGTGTGTGTGACAAATAAAATTTGAATTTGAATTTTTTATGTTTCCCATAATCAGCTTTTAGCATTAGTATCATGGGATGAATTACATTTTTAACAGAAAACTTTAATAAATCAACCCCTGGTACCCCGATTGTTTGATCTGTTTTCTGATAACTCACGAGAGAAAACTCAAAAGAATCTCATCGACATGTGGAATAGGAACCTAAACACCAGATAAAGCCAGGAAAAACCTTGGAGCACCTCGGGAGTGCATTAATGTCAGTAGTTCTCTTCATAAAGACAGCGATGGGTGATCAGGTGATCATGTTTTAGTCATAACCACCCTGTCTGCAGGGACCCAACGAGATAGAAACACAACGACGTCTCTTTCAGGGCAACATTGACAACAGAACAACCTTTAGCCAAAATCTGAGAACCACTCATTAAAATAACCTCAAACACAGCAGTGGACTTACTCGGGCCTCCAGAACCTTTTCTTCTTATTAGCCTCTCGGTTTATTAAAAAGTATTTAAAAGTGACATACTACACAACATTTCCAGTTCGATGTTTTTATTACTGGTCACTAATTAAGTAGCACAGGTCAAAATGATCCGTTTTTATCTTATGCTAGACCTCAGTACATCCCTTCAGCTCATCCTCTGTCTGAAATAAACCAATTTAAGTCCTATACTTGAAGGCCACAAGACACCTCAAAAGTACAACTACTTTATGTAAAAGTACAGATATCCCACGAGAAGTATCAGAGAATATCAGAGGGAATATATGAAGAAATAAACCCAACTGAGTTTCTGTTTGAAAAGAAAACAGCAGCAGCTTTTCCCACTATGACGTTCCCAAAGAAACCCTGAATAAATCAATCATTCCCTTTTACGCTGCAAGCTGAAACTCGGAGCACCGGAGTAGAGCGCTGCGCCGTGACGATGGAAATTCCAGGTAAAAAATCAGATGTGTATCTTTTATTTTCACTTTGACTTACAGCTGAAAAATGACAAAAAGCTCTTTGAGTTACGACAAATGTGAAAAACTTGAAACCCGCCTGCAGCTTCTGCTCTGTGGCGACTCATTAAACTGTTAAGACGGTGCAGTTATCAAGATGTAAACCTGCAAAATGTATGTACATGTACAAAGTGTACATATATATGCCACAATGTGAGTTATATGCATACATGACAGTATGGACGACTAAGGTACAGATTGAATTATTGAAGAAATCTTTGAATAATCTTTATTCAAGCAGGCCTGAAACTAAAGATTATTATTGTTAATAGTGAATATTCTCCTGTTTTGTTTTGTTTTTCCATAACTCTTATATATTAAAAGTGAGAAAACTTACTCTCATTATCAAATTAATCATCCAATTACTACGTGACAGGATGAATATGGAGGAAGGAAGTGCTACACGACTCAGCGGGGTGAAAACAAACTCAGTCCAAAAATTATTCTTGGAACAATTCAGGCAGCGAACCCCTTTTTTATATGGACATTTTAAATTGTTCAAAAGTATTTTTTACCCTAAAAAGATCAATTATCAAAACTTTTGATATTAATGATATTATTTTGTTTTTAACAGGCCGTCCCTGTCACTCTACCTGTCCTTTGCACTCAAAATAAATCCTAAAAAGCTGAAGCTTTAACTCAAACTGACATTTATGATGATGAATTCGGCAAGACAGGAAACATGAGGACTGACTGTAACCGGCTCAGTCTGGGGGGGGGGGGGGGGGGGGGGTTCTTTGTCACTTTCGTGGTCAGGTGAGCGTCTGCAGCCAATCGCTGTTAGTATTACAGCGTTATTCTCCTTCTTTGTTAGAAGTAGGTCAGGGACTTCTCCTTTAATTGCTCCATATATAAGAAAGGAGTTTCCTTTGTTTGGTTTAGGTGCAGGAGCTGACTCGTAAACTTTCCTAAATCTGAATCTGCAGGTGTTTTATTCCACCTGTTTTATTGTTTGATGCATGCAGTCACATTTTTGTATCAGCACTTTTAGAGGCAAGTCATGTAAGAAGCAAAGTGCTCGGCAGGAAAGCTCAGAGGTTTCTTCTTATTTAAAGTTTCACTATTTCATGCCTGTAGAATTTGAATCTCTGTGGATTTGAAGTTAAATCAGGACAAAACTGAATACTTCTCACTGTTTTCTGGCTTCATAAGCACTACATCACAGACTAAGCGAACACTCACCTGCAGCCCTGACTGTTTTTATCGCTTCAGGTTAACAAATAAAAGGAAAATAAAAGTTCCTATAAGTCAGGGTGTCCCAAATTTGGTGGGTTATTATAGAAAAATGTGAATAATTAAAGAAAAACTTTAAAACACTTGTGCGTAAATTTGAGTTTGGTTTAGATGCTGTAAACAGGGTGGATATGCAGGGTTTCTCTTCTTTTCTGTTACCTTGTGTGACTCCTGGATGAGCCTCCTCACCACCGCCTTGATGTGCGGTCCCTGCTCTTTGGGGGGGTGGGTGTACACGGACACCCGGGTCACCCCCTTGTAGACGCCGCTGCTGCCGGGCCAACCGATGTCCAGAGTCGGGACCTCTGTGTCGGACATCTGGGGCCAGTAGGTGGAGTGGACCCCGGAGTCCGCGCTGGAGGAGCCCTTGGACTTGTCGTGCTCCCCGGACTCGGAGTCGCTGTCTGTGTCGTACTCGTGGAAAGTTTTGCGGATAACTTTGACCTCCCGGGCGCATAGGAAGTCTTTGGTGTTGTCCTCCTGGAGGCGCATCTTGAAGGCTCCGTCCCCATTCCTCAGCAGCTGCTCCAGGGCCGCACGCTGCTCCTCACTGTAGTAAAACTCTGGCTTGGACTCCGGGACCTTCTCGTTAACGTGCTCATCATCCATGCACACCAGCTGAGACTCCGCCATGGCCCAAAGATTTAAAAATAACTTCCCCCTCAGTGCGCCACCGCTGCTGATTCCGCTGCTGCTGTTGCTGCTTCCCAAGAACCGCAATACCTGTGCTGACAGGTAGCAAGGGGGCGGAGCCAACAGGTACGTTATTAAAGAACATCCGGCCTGTAAACTTTCAGAGTACAACTTTCAAAAGGCAACAACGGAAGTTTGTCAGTGGTGGATCCTTCAGAGTAGAGGAACGTTATTGTAGTTAACCAGAGATGTCAAACTTATTTTATGTTATCGGCCATATACACACTACTTTGCTGTTAAGCATTATTGTAAAGAAGTTTAACTACTCATTTAATCCCTTACTTGACCTAATATGAGAACTAGAAATGCAGTTTCAACAGTGGCTCATTGCCCAGATGGTTCTGTATTTATAAAACATTAAAACAAGTTTTTTTTTAATTCACAGAAATATTTTTAACTGTAGACACAGCATAATAAAAACAGAGATTTTACTTGATAGTGGAAAACAGGAACTTTTATGTCATTTCTGTCATGGTTCTCAAGATCTGGAGAGGTCGTGGTGTGTGTATTGTTTGTCTTAACCTCTCCCACCAGGGCGGAACTGGACCTTGGTTTCCCGCCTCTGAACCCACCCTGAACACACACCTGTGGCTCATTCACACTGATCCTGGCAGACTACTTAAGATGGCAAGAGAGGCTGCTTCCTCGCTGGATCGTCATATTACCAAGTGTCAGTGTAGTGTAACCTATGAAAATGTTCCTTTGATCCCCTAGAGTTTCCTCCTGACTTTGTTCTTTCCTCTGTGTACAGGCCTTCTAGACTCCCTGCCCGTCTTCCCTGCCGTCTGGATTTCTGTGGATGTGTGTGAGTGAGCGTGAGCTTCTTAGTGTGGACATTTTTGAGTTACGGATCGAGTGGAAGAAGAGCGTGTGTGTACCCCCGTCTTGGACCTTCCCTTCGGACCCCGCCCTACTCCCTGGAGCCCCGTGTTATCTGTTCCATATGAATATGTATATATTCTCACTTGGTGTCACATTTCAAATAAACCCTCACCCTCTCTCTAAACTTCAGAGTCCTGCGAGTGAGTCCTCTGCCTACTGATCTGTGACAATTTCATTGTTTTATCTATTACTTGACTACTTTGGTGTAGTATAAATGGTAATGCGGGAGGAGTCTTTATCAGTAGGAAAAGCTGCAAAATTTATGACAATGCAGCTAAAAGTTCAAAATCTATGTACGAAGGTTTCCAGCAGGTCTGTTTGGAGTCTTATGTTTTGCATCCCAACTAAAAAATACTTCAAATTAAAACTAAATGCAGAAAAGCATCTTATGTAACTAAAATAAAAATAAAAACTAGACTTTTGAAAAAAGTTCTCGTTGTCCAGGGCTGTGTGCTCGGGTGTGCACTGGCTCACTCTGGCTCTGCTGCTTGGCGGGGCCTGGCCCCCCTGGCTCTATCGGGCCCCTTGCAGGGTATGGGGGCTCTCGGGTCTCTGGGTCCAGGGCTCAGTCTGCTCTGGCTTAGCCGGCTGCTTGTGGAGCCTGCAGGCTCGTCGTCACTGCTGCCCACCGTGGCTTCTGGGTGACCATCGTCCGGAGCGCTCCTCCTTTTCCAGGTGGGTGGCGTGATCGCCCCTGCGGTGGTCCTCCTTGGGATTTCGTGCTCTGAGGGGGCCTGTAGATGTCAGGGACCCGGGTCTCCTCCATGCCTGCTTCATGTCCTGGGGGGCAGGGCTGTGGCTCCCTACACCCACTATCAAACACTTACATGGAGAAACCTTATGAATACAAGCGCACTCACACACACAGGTTTGCAAACAAGTACTCACAGACACTCACTATCTTGGTCAGCTGCTGCCTCAAAACATATCATGCATCATTAATACCATGTGCTGCTCAGTAACATTTAATATTTATTATTTACTGTTACTCGTGGTTGTGTTGGTTGTTGCTATGGTTTCCTTGCTGTGTTGTTTTCGTTTTGTTTTTTGTTTTTTTAAGCAGGTGTTGAAGCAGATTTTCAGTCTTTTATTTCTTTCTTTATCCCTCTTCTCTATTTTTCTCTCCCTCTCCTTCTGTTCTCTCCCCAACTTCTCTTTCCTTATTCTGTTCGGTCCTGTGCGTTCTGATAAAAATCTAATAAACTATGACTATGAAGTCGACCTTTCTTGGCCTTCAGACAAGAATTCTGATTGCGGCAGTGCCGGACAGGACAGCAAAACCAAGAATAAAAAGTTTATATATTTTTCAGTTTGGTAAAAATTTCTATTACATTTAACATTTTATTACTGTCTTGTTATTGTACTTTCTGTACTGGTTTTCCTAAATATTGCTAATGACATATTCCCTCCATTCAATAACAATCAAAAAGACTAAAACTAAGAGTGAAAATTTAAAATAAATAAATAAATAAACCTAAACATGTTCAAACAATCTAAACTGAACATAAACAAAAAAAAATCCAATCTGGAAACCAACAGAAACTAAACTGAACTGAAAGCAAAAAGTCAAAATAGAATAAAAATAAAAAGTAATTAGAAAATACAAAACTATAATAACTCCGAAGCAAAGGTTCCCAAATGGTGTGTTTTGGGATTTTGCACAAAAAGTAAGGAATTAAATCTTAAATGTTCTATATCAGAACACATCACCAGGCCCTGATTAGTAGTGATGAGGGGGAAAAAACAAAAACATCTATTCACGTCCACTTATCATTATCAGGTTTGCAGAGGAGCTGGAGTCTATCACAGCTGCCACAGGGTGACAGACATGGTACACCCTGAACAGGTCACCAGTCTAACATAAAGAGACACACAACCATTCACACTTATGGGAAATTCAGAGTTACCACTTAACCTAACCTCACTAACTGCGTGTCTTTGGACTGTGGGAGGAAGCAGGAGCACCCGATGAGAACTGACGCAAACACGACAAACATGGAAACTTCACAGACGGTGGAGTCAAACTCAGGACCTTCTTGTTGTAAGGCAACAGTGCTAACCACGATGCCACCATGCTGGTACACAAAAGCACCTAAAGAAAAAAAAACTGTCTGGAGATATTACTGCAAAAGCTTCCTGTTTCCACACATGTTATCTTAGTCACCTAGAAACCAAACATCGCTTCTCATCCCTGGCCTAAAGTAAGAGAGCACCGGATCTTAACGAGACGCAGAGCCTGTGTGAAAGTTTCTGATACAGAAATGGATGCATGTTACATTAGCGGTGCTCTCTGCAAACTAAAAAGTGTCGTTGGTACCCTGCTCAAAAATCCCTTCATCTGATGGTTCAGATAAAACTGTCACTGATGTCATTCCACAAGACATGGGGGTTGTTTTCTGCAGCTATAAATAGATGCTGTCCTGCTACTCTTCAGTGAGCTTTCTTTAGAGAAAAAGCTTTGAGTGACTCTGGATAACAAATGGATATCAGACAGTGAACTTTCTCTTACATCAAAGACAGATGTTTGGATTTATTGAGTATTTTACTTTTTTCTATGTTATGGTCTATGAGCAAATTTTCATTTTTTTTTATTAAGTTATGTTGTCAGAAATGTGATATTGGGTTTATTTGTATTGAGTTGGGCTGTTTTCATCTCCACTTCCAGGTGCCATAGCTGTACAACAAGCTACTGACAGGATCACCTTCAACCACCACAACTACCTGCTTGTTATACACACATGAATTTTTGTAAGAAAAAATAAAGTATATAAGTGTCTTTTTTTTTAATTCCAGAAGTCTCAAAGTCAGTGGGGAAGTTTTAAATGAGTTCTTTGTTCCTTGCATCAAAAAAGTAAAACGAGTGCAATTTCTTTGTCTTTAATAGGGATTTTATTTTGAAGGGCAACTCTCCTTAACTGCCCATATGGAAAAGAAATAGTAAAAACATATGATTTACTCATGAAAGTGGCCACTTTCTCATTACTTTCATGTAATTTTTTTAGTAAGTATACAAAACATTCAAGTTTCATTATATAATTTTTCAAGGGATCTTATATGTGTTTTCACTCTTGTATGCTTTTCATACAAGTTTCATACAAGACAGATAAAAACTTTATAAGATTTATATATATCTTTTCCATATGAGTGTACTTCTGGAGTTTTGGTTAACGTTAAGCAGGTGGACAATAATTCAAGTACATCTGCCATGATTTCTATTATTTTCTGTCAGGTTTTGTCTTCCATTGGTTCATGTTCACATTAACCTTGTGAATATGAACTTTTTCATCTCTGGCTGTGAGCACCAAAGCCCCACCCACCTGCTTGCAAACCCACTTGTTTGCGAGAGACAACCAATCAGAAGAAAGTTAGCTTAAAGTGAAGCCTTAAAAGCAACTGAATGTAACTTCCTGTGTTTAAAACACATTTAAAGCTTTCGAAATTAATTAAAACAGCCAAAAAAATTTAAAGAAACAACCTCGGTCATGATTTCCATATCGTGTTTGTACTGTGCTGTTAACTTTCACATTTTTAGTTTTTTTTTTATTATTCTTAACAACGGCATTTTATTTATTTTGTATTGACGTTACACTTGGGTCTTACACGGCCTAGTTTAAATGGATGTGCAAATCATTTTTATAATTTTTACTACGACTCTAAAACGATATGTGACGTTACTAATGTTGGTTAAATGTGATTCATTAAAAACTTTCTAGTAAAACACTGCCCACTAGTGGTGAGAGTTTAATACAATACAAAAAATACAAAAATGTATCTTTAAAGGGGGAGGAGTTAAAATGGCTCATTTCAGGGCTGGTAGCTGCACCAAAGCCCAGTAAGAGATAAAAAATAAAGATTATTTTGATTTGTGAATCATGCAGAGACCAACTCCAAGAATAAAACATTAAATTTTACATAAAATAAATAAAAACTCACCTTTAAAACGATAGAAATACCCAAATGAATATCAGGAATATCACAGGTAAAATGTGATAAGATAAAAACCCCACAGAAAGCCCTCGTTATGAGTGAGCATCATTTAAACATGAAGGTGGTGATAAAAAAAAGTTTATTTAAAAAGTCAATAACATTTTTTGATAAAAATGTGTCAAAAGTGAGCAGACAGTCCATTCATCAGCAGCCTGGCCAGCAAGCATTCAGACAACATGCTTACTGACACGTCATGATACAAACAACATCCTCAGGCATCATTTGCAGCATTTCCTGTGTGCCAGGTGAACATGTGGGAGCTGTAGGAAGTTCCTGCAGGTGTCTCTGCTCCTTTGTAAATAAAGCTGCACTGCCTCAGTCCTCTGGTAGGAGGCTGACACGCAGCACATACAGAAGCCTGCTGGTTCACGTTCAGAAACCCATCAAGAGCTGACGCAGCCGCAGATCGAGTCTGAATGCACGCAGGCGTTTTAAAATCATCGCCTGTGGCGTTTCCTTACAGCTGCTCTGTGTAGTTTGCGGGAAACAGCCCAGTCGATCCTCTCAGCCTGCCTTTCCACCACGACGCATCGGAGTTATCCAGCACGTCGATGATGTCGCCGGCGGAAAATTCGAGCTCGTCGTCTTCCTCTGCGGTGAATTTGTAGAGTGCCCTCACCTGCAGCGTGGATGGTCTCTGCAGATGGAAACCAAACAGTGATCAATACCTGACAGACACAGCTGTAGCTGTGAGAGTCCTTTACTGGACTGCTTTTTGTGACTTCTGCATTTTAACATTAGCTAAAAAGTCATATTCTGTAACTTGTCTTTAGCAGCCACACATCCCATACAGTGACATGAGCCTTTAAAGTTTACCCAAAATGCACTTTTTAAAAACATTTTCCACTGAATTACCAGAAAACAGATCAAACATCCAGACTGCCAAATACTTCTGTTTCTGTTCCTCTACATCTCAGACAGTGCAGTTTATTGAAACTATGATATATCCTGATACCGATACTCAAAGTTTGTTATTCAAAAATAAGCAAAGTGTGGCTTCAGACTGCGACACTTTGAGTGGGTGTAAATTGATTTGACTGCAGTTTTTAATAGAGCTTAAACGTGTTTTTCACTTCTGTGTAAAGGCAGTTCTGAAAAAGAACATTTTCTCAGGACAAAGCAGAGTACATTCACAACGACTGCACAGGATTTAAGGGGGTAAGTGGCTGCCAGGAGCGGCTAATCAAACGCTCCTGATTTACTGATCATTGGCGAAGCACAACACTTCAAAGAAAGCAGAGATTTTGGCTGCTGGTCTGAAATATGCAGGTGTGCGCACGGACTTCCCCCTGAGGTCAGCAGTGCTCAGAGAAACAGCTAAGAGCCCAAGAGGCTACATCTTAGACTTTACATGTATCAATTAGCATATTAAAGGTCAAAGTTCACAACAGCACAATTAGAAAAAGACTGAACAAGTGTGGATTGTTTGGAAGGGATGCCAGAAGAAAGACTTTTCATGGCACCATGGCTTAAGTTTGCAAAGTTATATTTGAACAAACAACAAGACATCCATTGTACAGATAAGGCTAAAGTGGAGATGTTTGACCATGATGCACAAAACCAAACACGTTATCGGCACAAACATCTCCTCTGAAGTATCCTCAAGTCAAATGTGATGCTGCCTGATAGCTAAAGCTTGGCTCAAACTGAGTCACGCAATGATACGGCTGTGTGAATAGCTGAAAGAGAAGAACCAAGGTGCTGCAACGGCCCAGTCAAAGTCAAAGTCCAGACCTCCCCCTGACTGAAATGTGGTGCAACCTTACAGGAGAAGCTGTGCATAAATCAATGCCCGCAAACCTCAATGAACTGAAGCAACTCTGTAAAGACGAGTGGGCTTAATTTTCTCCGCAGCGATGTGAGAGACCGATAAAGTTATACCGAAAACAACAATTCAAGTCGCTGCTAATAAAGATGGCTCTGCAAGCTCAGTTTTTCACACAACTGTTTATATTTGTCACCATTTATTCCGAGTACTGAGATATGTGTTCCTAGCAGTCATTATTTTTATTAAAATCTTAAAGCTGTGATCTAGTTCGTTTCATGTTGTCTTATTGGAAGTTTAGAATAAACGCTGATGTCACCCGGCTGAACGCAGTGTATCAACATGATGTTAGCTGGTCTACAGTTTCCTGTGTTTACCACAGCCAGTAAGCATCAAAGCGTGGCGGGGCTGACCTGAGGCAGAGGCAAGGTTTCAGAGGTGCGTCTCAGAGGCTGAGCCGAAGTAGAAGGACTGTTTCTTCCTGTGTGGCCGATTGTATGCGCTCGCGCCTCCAGCTCGGGTCTTCTGCCCTTAAAGCAGAGAGCAACACACACGTTACATTCCTGCTTTTGCTTATTGTACAACACAGAACAATGAGCCGAAACGTTATGACCACCCCCGCCTAAAATAGCTTGGTCTCGACTCTTTAAAGACAAATTAGATTTTGCTTTTCTGTTTCCTGCACTTGGTTTAAAGTTCTGAACCTATTGTTATCTTTGTGGCTAAAACCTTTGCACATTATTTGCTATCAGAGACTTCAGAGCTGAGAGGAAGAAAAGCTGTAGCTCATACCATCGAGCTGGTACTCTGGTCTGAAGATCGGCGTGGAGCCGTATTGAAAGCTGGTGTTGTACGTTGCTCAGGCAAACTCCCCCTCTTCACCTGCAGGAAGGAAGCCGACAGGAAGAAGATAAGATGCAGTTTTTATTTCTATTTATGTTCAGAAATCTAACTTTTTTCATCTTATGCATGATTGATTTTTACAGTGAAAGAGACTTCAAAACAAGAACAACCGCAGGTAATGTAATATGGGTCTGCGTTTAAGCTCCTAAAATAGACTGAAGCAGAAAAGTGCATCTTTATACCTTCATGGAACATCATAAATACAAATTAACAAGTTCTTACAACCAGAACGCCCAGTTTTACCATGAGCTGCTTTCAAATGTGATTGTTTTCAAAGTAAAACACAAACAAGTGCATTACATTCTCAAAAGTATCCCAAAATTTATTGATCTCATCGGTTTCCTTCATCGTAGGACCCAACATTACTGAGCTTTCAGTGTAGACGTGAGTGGGTGATCAATGAAGAACTTATTACCAAAGGTTAAACTAACATCCAGCTAACATTTTTTGGTTTCCCTTTCAGTTCAACTCAATTCACTTTTATTTATTTGGCACCAAATCACAACAACACTTGCATCAGGGCAACTGTTGTTGTATGTGTAATGCGTAATTTTTGTCCAAAATGTATCATTCTTTATTAGATAAACTTCCTTAACTGCTTTATAACACAAATATCTAATGAGCCAATCACATGGCAACAAGTGCATGTAGACAACCTGCTGAGGTTCAAACAGAGCATCAGAATATAGTTTGTTGATGTCAGAGGTCAGAGAGGAATGACCAGACTGATTCAAGCTGACAGAAAGACAACAGCAATTAAAATCACCACTCATAACAAATTTATGCAGAAAAGCATCTCTGAATGCAAAACACTGCAAACCTTGAAACAGTTGGGATTTAGCTGCAGAAGACCACATCACTGCACGCCGCTGCTGTCAGCCAAAAACACGAAACTAAGGCTACGATTTACATGGGCTCACCAACATTTGACACTTAAAGAAAAACTGTGCCCGGTCGAATGAGTTCTGATTTCTGCTGCAATATCCTGATGGTAGGGTCAAACCTGAAAGCATGGATCCATCCTGCCTCGTATCAAGGGTTCAGACTGGTGGTGATGATGATTTTTATGGCACACTTTTGGGCCCCTTGGTACCAACTGAGCATCGTTTAAACACCACAGTCCTCTTGAGTATTTTGCTGACCCTGTCCATCCCTTTGTGACCACAGCCTACCCGTCTTCTGATGGCTGCTTCCTGCAGGGTAACGCGCTAAAGCTCAAATCATCTCAAAGTCTAATCGAGCACCTTTGGGATATGATGGAACTAAAGATTTGCATCATGGATGCACAGCTGACAAATGTGCAGCAGCTGTGTGATGCTATCATGTCAACATGCAGCGAAATGTTTGACGGCGTCCAACCCAGGACTCGGAAATGTGTATGTCCACATATTTTCGTATTTAAAAAAAAAAACCTCTACCAACAGAAAGACGCAGAATTCAAAGACTCGAATAAGACACGTAGACGTCTGCGTGGCGCTTTTAGTTTCTCAGGATTTTTACAGTTTCCCTCCATCACTTTGATGTGCTCACATTAAACCACCTTCTTAGCTTTCATTTCCTCTTCACACTCTTTTACATGATCAGTCAAGGGGGGCAACTGGTCACAGTTCTGCTTTTTATCAGTTAATCATAAACTAAAAACATAATCTATTATTTTCATGTATTTCCTGCTCGCTCTCTGCCTGAACAGGCTTAAAACATTACAGCTTTCCTACAGCTTAGCTTTAGTGATAAAGTGATCATTCTGCTTTTTTCAGTGGCTTCAGATAATCCTCCTCGCATGTTCGTTCACATTCAGGTGCCTCACTTTTACAGCATCTCTTCAACATTAACAGGCCTCTATTAATAATAGGGAGGGAGGCATTGTGAAACTGAGCACATTTATATCTCTGATTCAGTCTCAGTTTCACACCTAACACAGTGGCTTAAGTGGTTAAGAAAGAGGCTTGAACCAAAGCAGCAAATTCTAGAGCGCAACTATGAAGTCTGTGCATCAAAACTGCAATTCCTCTAATGGCCAGTTAAGGCTGCCCCCAAATGTGGGTCCCCATAGAGTCCCATGTCAACAAGTCCAGCTTTAGAAGAAATAAACATTTTACAGAGTGGTCAATAAAACAGTTTTGGTCTTTGTGGATAGTTTCTCCATGATACCAACTGTGCATTCAAAGGTAGTTAGTGTTTAAAATTAGCTATAGCTGCCGAGCTACAGTATGGTGTCGTTGCCTTTTGGAACATTTCTACAGGAAATAATGTGAGGCTCAGTTAGGACAAGAGAAATTCTCATATTTTATTTGCCTTAGCACAATTAGCTCATATTTTATTAGCCTTAACACAATTAGCAGGTACCTCTGAGTCCAATTTGCTAGCATAACAAACTCATATGTCCAAATATAGAAACCTCTGGCTCCAAAAAACGAGCATGACCGCATCCAGCACACTAACGCTGAGATTTCTAAATGTCAGCTCTGTAACCTTCATGTGTCATCATGTTTTATACACAGTCTATGATTTGAAGCCAGTTGGGGACCCATGTGTGTAGAGCTCTGTCTGCACAGTTGCGTTTTTAGGCTTTTCCAACTTATCCTACCATCGAAAAACAAAAGCATGCTAGGTTATCGTTGCCCATCTTGCACCAGGACTTCACCAGGAGTTCTTCTAAAGGTCAAGAGGTTTAATAGAAGAGTTCAAAAGCTTCTCTGCAATCAACATGTAAAAATGTCCTTTTGGAAAATGTCATCGTTGGAGTGTTTGGCATTTAGATCATCATCATGGGTTATCGGTTTTATCAGTTATCAGTCATGTTTTCAGTCTATTAAAGACTAATTTTCCCTGATTTTGCAGAGCTGGCTTCAAATAGTCTTTGTTAAAAATGTTCTCAGTATGACTAGAAAAAAAATTCTCATTACACTGAAATTTAACACGTCATCTTTTTGCCTGACACCTGAAATGTGGTTTGACCTTCTGCAATACCACAGAAACTGTCACATCATTTATCCCATTATCTCTGTGTGACACATTACTGTATGTTTGCTGCAAAATGTAAAATTTATAATCAGGTTTTGATTTCTGTAGATATGCTCGAGGCGTTACCGGCTGGGATGGGGAGGGGAACCCTTTGCTGTCGTTGAGGCTGCCATCGTTGAGGTAAATCACCCTGCTTTTAGAGATGGTGTTGGTTTTGTAGAACTCCACCAGCTTGTTGAGGGAGGTGAACTTCTCCTGCCACAGGAAGTACTGGCCTTTGTTGTCCCTCATCACTCTGAAGTGCTGGACGTCATTCTCATGTCTGAGGAGAAGAGATAAAGATTACATCTTTACTATCCATGGCCCACAGACTAAATAACTACTAAATAACAAAAGGTCATTTTTAATTACACAACACTATGTGGATAACATTTCAGGGTCAGAACTAACCGCTTTGTAAAGCGCTTTGAGTGCCTTGAAAAGCGCTATATAAAGCCAATCCATTAAAACATCAGTTTTTCGCCCCTCATACAGCTTCAGTCTGGCTATACTTTTACACTAATTTGACGAATCGCATCCATCACATCTACTTCTGTCCAGATTTATATGCAGCAAAGACCAAACTGAAGTAAATCAGGTCTTAAAACTGGATTAGAGACAAAGGCTGAAAGGTCTCTCCTTGATCATATCAGACTTCCAAATTGAAACAAATGTGTGATTGTGTAAATGATGTTAACTGAAATAAAATTGAGTAAACAGAGTCTTTCGTGGCCCTTTATTATAGAGAGAAAACCTTGATGTACTAATCCTGGTCAGAAGCTCTTATAAAACAGTGCCCTGAAAGAAGGAGTTGAAATTTGTTTAATTTCTTGAGGTTTTTTTCTGCTTCTCATTCTTTTCTAAAGGGAGTGCGCAAGAACATCTACATAACAGACGACTCCCTGTTTCCTTCATCCCACTGGTTCCTCTCTCCTTATCTGGATTGTCCTCTGCTGGTCGATGCACAAAACTACAACATCAAACAAAAACTCCCTCAGCACATAACTGGGTCAATTTATATAGTGTAAAAAAAGTAAATCTACTCAAGGCACATAACAGGCCTAAGAGCACTTGAAGTGTGGATATTATTTATTTAAAGTGTGACCAGAGTTTTCACCACTATGAATCATACGGTACTGTATGTACAGTGCTTGTGATGTGTTGCTTCGAGCAAATGACAACAAAAATTCAGCCAACACCCAGGAAGCAGCCAATTTATAGTGTAAAACTACCACCCAACTATACAGAGGTCATACAGAGATCTACAGCTGAAGTCCCCTAAACTTCAGTTTCTTTCCAAATTATGTTTGGATGACTAAAGCTGAGGCACGGTGGTGTTAGCATCATGCTCTGGTGCTAATTTAATGCCAATGGTACATTGCACAACATGGATGTAATAATGAACTTAACTACTATACAGTTAAAATGTGGGCAAGATTGAGTGCTCCAAGAGAACAATGATCCCAGACACACATTTAAACTGGTTTTGGAACAAATTTGAAGAAACTCTTTCAATTCTTCGAAGAACAATGGTCGAATATCCAGAAATAATTATGCCAGAAGCTACGAAAAGAGTCTGGTCGAGGTGCAACTTGCTAAATGAGATTAAACCAAACATTAGTGTGGCTGAATGTCCCTGTAAGTATACTTTTGAGTCTGTGTGGATTGGAGAAAATCAACAATAAACTTAAACTTGTGCACCCAAATCACATTTATTACAGTTAATAAAGATGTTTCCGGTACAGTTATTCCAACCTGGAAAACGAACAGTTCAAAGAAATCATTAAAAGCCCCAAATCACCAAGACATTGATGCCCGAGCACGAGTGTACGTAAACCTCTGACCACAACATTAAAAACCCATGGACATACTAAAAGACAGCACCTGTTACTGGTTACTGAAAAATTAAAATACACGAGTCTTGAAACCATTTAGGACTGGAGATATTTTGCACGGGTGTTATAAATAACATACGGCACGACAGTCTTTCAAACTGTCCCGGCGGATCCTGTAATCAGAGCGCTAAAAGGAATCATCTGCGCTGGTGGTCTGACAGACAGCGGACACGAGAGGATAAACTGACTTCACCTCTGCCTCGCTTGTTTATTCTGCAGCTGCCTTTGGTGATAAAAAATAAGAACCTCCAGCGAAGGAGGAAAGAGCTCAGAGGGCGTGACACTGCAACGCCAAAATATTAGGGAACTCTAACTGATCTTTTAGTAGATGTTATCACACTTCCAGTTTAAAAACAACCTAATTATTTTCTTAAGCACAAGCACATTAAAATAATTCAAACAATCTAAATGTCAATTTGATGATTTTCTTGACTGTTTTTTTTGGTCTACGGAGTGCACAGACCAGGGGTGTCCAACTGCAGGCATCAAGTGCCAGTGTCCTGCAGGTTTTAGATCTCACCCTGGGTCAACACACCTTTATCAGATGATTAGTTACTTATCAGGCCTCTGGAGAACTTCAAGACCTGTTGAGGAGGTAGCTTAGCTATTTAAAATTAGCTGTGTTGAATCAAAGATGCGTCTAAAACCTGCAGGACACCGGCCCTCGAGGCCTGGAGTTCCTCACCCCTGACATAAATGAAGTACATAGATTTTGTGTGTCATTTTATGCTGGAAAAACTATACAGCAGCCTCACATGAATAACTGTGCAGCCTCAAAAGTGCCAAAATGAAATAAGTAAATACATCACCAAAATATTATTTCATTAAAACTGTAAATAAAAAATGTTTTAAATACATAATGAATTAATTAAATTAATTAAATTAATTCTTAATCCAAATATCAACTGTGTTTACATTTTCAGAAAACTTCCCCTCTGACCTCTCACCTTGAGGTCGAGGTCACTGAGATTCGAACTCAGGTTTTCAGTAGATACACCGATGGTATCAGTCGCTTTAATCTCCAGTTATCGCATTCACAAACTCTGGTGTCCATGTCGCCTAGCTGGCTACCCGCCCACCCAGCAGGGTGACGACAATACGCCATCAGGCTTTTATGGCTGAGGCGTAAAAAGGCGGTAAAGTACTCAGTGAAGCTGTGCACAAGTGTCGCCAAGTGTCAGATGTTATCAACCTGCCGTCTCACTCTGAGCTGTCCTCCAGTCCTGACTGTACTTGTCACGCAGGAACGAGCAAGTATGAAAACTCAAACTCTTTATACTTAGTATGAAACAAACACTGACCAAAAGCAAAGCAAGGCTTTGACTAGAGCAGCTTTAGTCCCGCCCACTGACTTTGGTGCTGCAGTTAAAGATAAATAAATGCATGCAGCACAGCATGCAGTACCATATTAACCACAGTGAATAGGATTTTGACTAAATAAATCCACAATTAATTAATTACACTTTTAATTAACTGTTTGTTTATGTATTTATTTCATTTTGACACTTGTGGTGCTATGTCTATGTTGGATGCACATAAAGCACAGCTCTAAATGATACTCTGTTTTATTTGTGTGTGTTATTCTGATTTATGAGGTTAAGCTACAAAATTAACCTCATACTGTATTGAAATAAGACTTAAGTATTAAATAAGACCTGAAACTAGCAACTGAGACCATGAACCATGTTCACTGGAGTTACAGTTCAAGTGACAAGTATGGTTATTTTTTTCATTAGCTTGTCTTTTCGCAAACAGACGAGTCTCCCTCTGCTGGCTGGGAGAAATAATGCAGATATAACGTACTTTTATATTAATCCGATTGGCCTGTTTCATGGGAACTGTAGTTGGACCAAAGAGACAGTTTTGAAAGTGTATAGCCGGTTATGGTTCAAACCAAAATGGTTACCAGGAGCAGTGGGGGTTGTGGGATAGGTTGCTGTAACACTTTAAGATCCGAAGTATTTGCAAGTCCCTATATAAATCTTCTTTACACAGTGAATACGCATCTGTTTTTAATGACAGTGTGGTCAAACAAACCCTCGGTGTTGTGGCTGGTGCCATCCATTGCAAAATCTTGGTGTTTATTAGTTACCAAAGTTGGAAAAAGGAAGTTTGGTTTCAACTGAAACCCAAGATTCGGCAGTTTTGAATGAGAGTGAAACTGGTCTCTACCACTGTCCATTCACGTGACACTCAAACAGCACACAGAGCTGGAAGTTTAGCTTGAAACCATAAACTATTAATAAAATAGACAGCATCATCACCCACAGGTTTCTGGACATATTATTTTGAGTTACGGTTTTTACAATGTTAGTTTCTTAGACCATATTTAGAAGGTGTGCTGTTAAGTTATCATTTAACAGTATTGGGAGATTGACTCTCACTTGGAGCCAGCCGCTTGGTAGAAACATAACATAAACGAAACTTTAGCATCTTCCCTTCGTTTACATGACACATAAAACCGGTCAATACGAGACACCAGCAGACTTTCACCGCTGAGCCAAATGAAAAACTTTGTGATTGGTTTTTATAGCAGAATTTTTATAACACATTACATGGTGCAACTAGTAATTTTTTCTTGAATTAATCATTAAAAATCAAGTAAATGTCAAAGAAGAGCAGAAAGGTAATCAGAAATCCAAAGTGATGTTTTCGATTGTCTCATTTTATCCAAATTCAAAGACGTTCAGTTTACATTTTTAAAGAAAAAGAAGCTAAAACATCAGGTTATGTGATGAGTTCTTGAAAAACAACACCATTTGGTTCTGGATCTGGATCTAGCCCCGTCTGGTCTATATGCGAAACAAATGTAAAAATATTTCTTTACTGTTTTATGAACTAAAAGAATGGATATCCAGTTTGATGCTGGTTGAAAACGCTGACGTACTAATATGCCTAGCATGCTGTCAAAGAGCTGAACAAACAGAATAAGTGACTCGGTAATATTCTATAATTTACTTCCCCTTTAACTGTCAAACCAGATGTTGACTAAGCATAGTTAAACATGCTGAACATCAGCACGTAGGCACGCTAAAGTACGCATTTAGCTTCAGCATAAATATAGCTGTGAGCCAAACTTTAAGACTTCCCATTGCTTTACTCACTTGACAGAAATGGAGAAATCCCCCAGGGAGGTTTGGCACCCTCGGATCAGAAACTCCCCGACAGTTTTGGACTTGAGTATGTCCTCTGCAGCACTGCGACTGGCGTCCTCCTTAAACCACCTGCACACAGAGGCCACAATGCTGCTGGTTATCTAAATTAAGTCACTCACACTCGTGCACAAAGCGGCCAGGAATCGTTACAAAAGTTTAAAACCAAGAATGAACCAATGTTGCTTTAGTCGTTTTTATTTACCCTTTATTCATACCTGTAATCCCACTGAGGCTCAATGTCTCACTCACAACAATAAAAAAGCTAAAATTGCCTAAATCTTTTGGTTTGTTTATACTGCTGCTTTTTTATGTTTGCCCGAGTTAGAGTTATGCTCTGTTTTAGCCAATCAGCCATTGTTTCACAAACAACAAAACCTTTCAAATGGTAAATGGACTGGTTCTTATATAGCGCTTTTCTACTCATCTGAGCACTCAAAGCGCTTTACACAACTTGTGCATTCACCCATTCGCACAAGCACATTTTTCTAAGTGCTTCATAGCTAACATTCACACACATTCATACTCCGATGGATGCATCGGAGAGCAATTTGGGGTTAGTATCTTGCCCAAGGATATTTGGCATGCAGACTAGGGGAAGCCAGGAATTGAACCACCAACCTTCCGATGACCTGCTCTACCACCTGAGCTACAGCAGTCTTTTACACGCCGTTTGGCCTAAACTATCCTGTAAGAATAAATTTCCCTGGGTTAAGCCAAACATTTCGTACAAGAGTTGATGTGAACCCAAGTCTAACCCTACCACAAGCTCTCACAGCAGTTTGCGCAAAAATTATGAAACTTAACTGAATTAATTTGTGTTTCTCGACACTGATTTTAACCGTATTTTCACTTCTTGTCCACCAGGCCCCTCGCTCCGCCTCTGTTGTTTTGTGTCAGTGCGCACACACTGAAGATTTTCCACTCAAAGGGTAAAAGCATTGGCATCGTGAGTCAATTTGCAGCTCACGCCTCAGTTCAAGACCCCCACAAAGAAATGATTTTTACACATCCATTGGATTTTCAAAAGATATCTGTTTGTAGTTCAAGGCTGTAGGTCCCTCTCTTACCCCGGAATCTGGAAATCGATGTAGTTATGTGGTACAAATCCTTCCCGTCCATTCATCTCCGCCTTACACCAATCACCTTCAACGTTTATAATCTGTTCAAAAGCAAAAACAAAACGTGTCAAGCTGGAGGAAATGGAAAACATGCCTTCATTATCTAATCATATACTGACCTTTAGTAAATCACCCTTTCTGAAGCTGAGCTCCTCGTCCTCTGTTGCGATAAAGTCATACTTTCCTGAGGCTTCCATTGAGAAGTTTCAGGGAGGTTTAGAAGAACGTGAAGGAGAAGTGGCAAAGGGCTTTTTCTGCAGGGATGAAGACAAACACCAACACAAGTTATGATTTACAGGTTGTAAAAATACAGCTGACAGCAGTGAAACTTGAACATGCAAACCAGACAACAGCATTTTATTTAAACTGATAGTGTGGTTTGTGTCTGTCGGAAGCCACAAGAGCTCAAGCTGTTGTAAATGTAAATGTTAGTTATTATGCTTCCATCACCATATACTTATGTTTGGACTACAACAGAAACTCTAATGATACGTATTTTATTTTCTAATAGGTTTCAGTGTGCACCCTCTGCCTGGAACCAACCATTCAGTCTTGTAGTGCTGAGGTATTTTTAGCCTTTTGTGCTAATGAACTCAATATTTCTTATGAGACATTTGAAATCACCATCTTGGGCTCTGGTATACTTATACACAGCTCGTAATTTATAGGACATGGAAAGGAAGGACAAGGGAATGACATGCAAGGAGTAAACAGGAACTGGAAAACTTCATTTGTCGTCCATTTTTACATTATGGAGAGACACAGACGCCACTTCTCCATTCCCTGCAGTTTATTTAAACGTATACAGAAAGGATGAGAAGACAGGGGTCGACGCAGTATTCGAGAAAATGCAATTCTCCAACGAAGGAGCTCTAAAACGTGGATCTAATGTTAAGGATCTGAATCCCATGACAGCAGTTATCATCACAGCTGGTTATTTTATTTTCCCACCAACGTGAATAAAACCTTCACTTGTTTGTGGTTACAAAGTGAAGGATGTGGTAAGCTTTCGTGAAAAAGCTGGCTCTATCGTTGCAGCTGTAGAGCACTTTGCAACCTTACACAGTTCTGACAAGAGACACAGAGCTGCATAACACCCGATGCTGATATTAACCTAGCAAACAAATGCCACCTGTTAAACCACACACAGACTTAAAATTAACTCTAACCCTTATAATGGTTTTTATCTTTAATAATGAACAGATGTCTGAAACCTGACTCAAATTCAGATGTAAAAAACTTTAGTTCCTGTTAATTAGACTAGTTATCCCAGGCCAGCGGTACTTTTGCAGGTGCCAGGGAAGTATGTAAAAGCCAATATATAGGAGCTAGGTAACCTGAAGCAACACACAAAAAGGTGTAGCTAAAACAGTGAATAAACAGTTTAAAGTTTACTAGATTAATCATTGTAAATGATAAAGTAATCCAATGAAAGCCAAAGACTGCCAACTACATTTGGCTGATAAAAAACAGGAATTAACATGTTAAGTAGTCAGCTAAAAGTGACGAAAAAGTGTAGCTAAAGTAAGGAATTTAAAAAAAGTACAATTGTTGGATTAAATGCTGAATTAGTTATTTTGAAGTCAAGGATTAACAGCCAAAATAGTCAGATAACAATCCAGGACTAAAAGCTGAATTATTTACCTAAAAGTTGTGATTAATATATGAATTAGACAAAAACTAAACAGGGCTTAACATCTTAATTAGCCATATCAAAATCCCGGATTAGCAGTTGATTTACTCAACAGAACGTCATGGAACAGCTAAAGCATCCCAGTAAAAATCAGGGATTAACTGCTGAATTAATCAGACAGATTCATCAGTTAATTCAAAACACAGGATGGTAATAAGAAGGATAATAACAGATTCGTATAGCACCTTTCAAAAATCCAAGGACACTATACAAACATTTGGTTAAAGTCATGGATTAACAGTTGAATTGTGTTGCATTAAAAATGACAAATTAACAGCTAAATATAAATCACAGATTAACAGTTAAAATATTGAATATTTAATTAGTCGTATCGCAGAGCACAGCGCACAGCGTCATATTATAATAGTTTTATTACACAACACATAACGGTTAGACATGGAAATTGTGAAACAAGGGAGGCGGGGGTCCTGTACTTGGGTGGTAGCTGAGGAGTCACGTGACACATTTCTCAGTGATGTATGCACGTAACAGAATATGCAAACCGTTACGACGTAACTGAAAAAGCAACAGTAAAACATTTGTTGAGCTACAAAGTGCTGTGATGTCACACAAAGCCGCATCTTAAGTTTTGATTATTTTTCACATGAATCGCATGCGTCACACAGTCTTGATAATGTGGATCAGATAACGACAGTATGAGAAAAGAAACAGCATAATTAATCATAGCAACAGATAAAACGAATGCACTAATAACCCAGATTTTAAAAATGGCAAATGATGATTGAAATCAACTAGAGTGCAGAAAAAAAGAGAACTGGTACCGGTGTATGATTTTATTTGTAGGTTTACTTTATCCGAAAAGAAAACAAGTTTTGTGGAATTAATTTACGTCACAAGTAACATTAAAGGTGTCACTAGCTGAAAGTCAAAGGATTTCTCAGTTGGCAGCTTCGGCTCGTCTGTTCTCGCACTTCTTCCTCTCTCTCATACCCTTGGGAGGAGATAAGAGGAAGAGTTGCAAGTGATGGAAAAGTACCCTAAACTTCTTCTCATGTGTTGTTGTATCAGGTCTGTTAGTTCAGTTAATGCCTTGTTTAGTTTTCATCATTTTAAAGACCCTGTTATTGATTTCTTTTTTATAAAATATCTGAATTGTTTTAGATTAAAAGCCTCAGCTTATTACATCACAACTCACAAGTCATCTTTGCAAGCCTTGCTGCTTAAATGCCAACTGAAAAAGACAAATAACTGCGAGGATAGCAGTAAAAACTGCAAATCCCATTTTAATGATTGAAATGGTTAACTAAAAGCTATGAAACATAAGCTGAAGTCCTTTAAGGATATGGGTAAACAGCTGACATCCATCAACAAAAAGTCACAGATTTAGACCTGAAATGATGAGCTTAAGGTTATGGACCAATCCTTGAAAGATTTGGATAAAAACAACAGATTAAATCTTGCAATGGTAGCTACAACACAATCATTCAAACTATGTAATGAATAAGCAGTAATGTGCAAACAGTAAACTAAAATCTATTCTATCTCATTGTGTATTCAGTATCAGTGCGGGTTTAGATTACACAACAGTAACCAAAGGTTGTCAGCTGAAACTGCTAAAAATTGTGAATTACCAGTTGAAAAACTCTTCTTTCAGTAATAAGTAAAGAGTTGCGATGGGTAAAACTCGCAGACAAATAGTTGAAACCTTTGGATTGACAGCTGATCACAGCCACAGATCAGACGAGCGGTGAAACATCTTCAACTTAAACAAGTCCACTCGCTTTCTTTCCAAGCTCCTTAGACTGAAGTTGAAAGATTTCTCTTTTATTATTGGTATTGGGTAAATATTTAAAGTGGCTAAAAAAACAGCAAAAAGTGGACACATAAATATAAACACTGTACCTCTGCTGCTCTGTAGTTCCTGCTGCAAATACAAGCTTGATACTGCCTACTTAAACAGATTTTTTGTTTTAATGAAATATTCGGAACAACACCGACGGTGTGGCACTGTGGGCTGCTTTAATGAACCTGACGTGCTGATTTTGGACAAAAAAATAAAAAAATCTTTTTAATACGAATGGTTAAAAGGATTTTTAAACAGAATAAACCAGGTGAGTTAAGATTAAAGTTAATGAAGGCTCATTTTAGTTAATCAAACTAACTGTCCATTAAAAATAAATAACAGGTGCAATTCAAGCTGTTTTTAAAGCAGGCTGCAGCTTCAGGAAACCCCCTTGTTATGTACAGCTGAACAGCTGCACAGCTGAAACACTGACCAGTATGCAGCCAGGGCTTTGTGGTTAGAGTTTGCTAGTACAGTTTCAAATATGCCTTAAAAGCATTTCTGTACTCTTTTATTTAGACCATCAAAGTTGTCGTCTCTGCTGTATCCAGTTTGGTCATGGTTTACGAGACTGATTCATCTGGGGATTATTTTCTCAATTAGTCTGAATTTATGTGGCCTAAAAATAGAGCTGGGCGATATATCGAGTTTTTAAAAAATATCGATATATTTTTATACGCGATATAAGATGTGACCATATCCTTTATATCGATATAGTCTATGTTACGTTATAATTATACTTGTGGAGCCGCAAGTTTGCCTCTCTTTCGTCCACTTTCGTCTTTACGCAACGTTACTCGGCCTCGCCTCTCCTTCACTGAACACAACTCCCCCTCCTCCCCCATCGCTTCACCTGCAGGAAGCGACAAGATGGACACGGAAAATCTCCGTTAATGAGTTACTGCGCATCGCCCCGTGCGTGGGGCTGGACGGCGTCAACGTGTTAGCTAGCTAACCACGCTAACGAGCTAACCACGCTAACGCCATGCAGCCCAGAGGTGCTGCACGGACTAAAATCCTTTCATTTTCTCAAAAGTTGACAGCGCGCCTTATGTATGAATTCTGGTTGTGCTTGATGGCCGCGAACCGATTTTATGTGGTACACGGCGCTCAGCAATCTGTCAAAAATGTTTTAGTACGACTTTGGTATGCTACGGAGCAGCACCGCTTGATGGATTGTCGGAGCATTACGGCTGAGCCTCGCGGAGTGATACGTACTGTGCTTCAACGTAATATTACCTTACTGTGTATAAGGACCATAAATGGCACCTGTAAGAGACGTGGTTGCGAAGCAGATTACAAACTCCAGGCTGTCAGTCACGCAGTACAAGTTGGGAACAGAGCAGCTGTGAAATCTGTCTTTGTTATAGTGCTCGTCTTTTAGTTTACATTTTGACTGCACATTTGTGAGCTTTTTGTTATGCACAAAAACAACATTGTTTTCTTTTATTTATGAAGCATTATTATTTAATAAATGCTCATAATTTATTTTTGAGTAAATTTTATGTACATCTGTTCTATGTTAATAAAAGTGCCTGTGTGACATCTGGGACACAGCTTTGACTAAGAACTCCCCTTTTGTTCTTACTTTATGGCTTTAAAAAAAAAATATCGAGATATATATCTTATATCGCCATCCAGCTAAAAAATATCGAGATATGAATTTTGGGTCATATCGCCCAGCCCTACCTAAAAATGTTTCAAATGCCATGTTTTGCCAAAAAATCACATTATTTAGTGCTAAAGAGGGAAAAAATAAGCATTTCAGAGCCTCAAACTCAGTACCTCCAGCTGCCACAAGCATTAAATGTTTCCATATCTGAGGCTTAAACTGGATAAATCCCAGCATGTTGTGCTTAAAAATAACACTCGATTGCTGACCTGAATTAGTTTAGAACTTAATTAGTGTCCTTTTCAGCATATCCACCAAGTACTAAAAGCAAACAGAAGGCTGCACGCATTTGTTCAGTGGTACTAGCAACCAACTGCAACTTTCAGAAGCGTCTTTCTCATGTTGATGCACCTGCATCATAAACTGCCTCTGTGCAGCGACCCTTGCAAATGCAAGAGTTCACACCGGTGCTCTGAAACTTCTTAGATTTCACCAGCAGTGCAGAAGTCACTGACATCTTTCTCTGAATTAAAAGTTTCAAAAAGTAAAGCTTTAACTTTGCTGGGATGGTAAATATATCACTGGCTTTTGATCTGTCAGGTATCCTGATGGGTACTGTCATCACAATCATCTTCAGTGACGAGGAAAACAAACAAAATCATTTTTATAATCTAAAATTTGCTGCTTTAAGCTTATCAGGCGTAGATGTTGGGTCAACACGACTTTCGGACCTTTAAGGTACGTGGGAGATTGATTCATATTTATAATGGTTTTCCTCAGCATTGCTTGTTGTGTGCCCCGTAAATAAAAACGACTTGGGAGAAATTACATGCTGCTCAGAAATCCTTTTTACTTACAGAAAATGCCACTAAAGTACAATTTACGCATTTTTAAAACTGTCGCACATCATGATCAGTGTTTCAAAGGGGTCAAAATGTAAAACATGAATTTGTTAACCCAACATTTGCACCAGTGGATATTAAGGAGTTCAATATGTAGACATGTAGAGAAAGAGCACACAGCGCACAATCGTTACTGGTAGTTAAAGCAAAGAGGACTGCAGAATGGGAAAATTCCAAGTAAAACCAGACACAACAATATTAAAATCGTTCACTAAATCTAGTGTAGAAGCATTATTAGCTAACCCAGGAATATGATCCCTGTAACAGGATGCATCAGATGTATAAGCAGTTGTTCATTTAAGCTCGCTTTTAGTCTTTTTTTTCATCATTTTTAGGAGCCAAAACTAAAAAAAACATCAAAAAAGCTGTTTTGTGTCACTTTCTTTTGCTTTTTATATTAAATAAATGAATGTTTTACATCAAAATTCATATACGTATTTAGATTAAACTCTTTAGCTGAACCGCTTGAATTTTAGTTTCCACTTGGCGCAGTATCTGTTTATCTGAAGCTCGTGAGTAAAATTCAAAATAAATTAGAAAATAAATAAAATGTAAATGTGAAATTTCCCACTCCAAAGTGGCACCTCGGGCCTGTCTAAATTGGGGATGCAGCTTTGATACTAATCCAGTACTGACTGGGTAAACTGGATCATACGTCATAACAAAGCTCTGAGGAAGCTAACAGGTAACAAGGTGCTTCACGCTCGTGACGCCGCCTTTTTTGTATGTTTGCCAAACACGCAAACGTAACCACAAAAGACCTGAGTCACTATTTTTCGCTCGCTGGGAAACTTTTATTGCACTTCCAGTAAAATAACTAGATTGACATGATTTCACCTTAGTTATCTCTGTCTGCTCCACTCCGTGTGCTCTCGCAGCGGCACTGAGAGCAAGGACAGGCCAAACTAGCATGACCATTTAAAACCATTTAAATTCACTAAGCACTCACACTGAGCTAAAATCGGTTTTATATTAGCCCCGTTTCCAGTGAGGACTACAGCTCATTAATGTAACCCTGCTATCAGATGGTAACGGTCATCAGCAGACACCCAAAGTTGAGGTATGATTGTCAGAATGGGAACAGGATAAGGTTGGATTGGTGGATCAATGATTTGGAAAAAAACATCATCAAGTTTATGGAAGTTTAATTAGCTGTAAACACTGTGATTACATTACAACTTCTCTATAAATGTTCTCATTTGTCAACGCTTCATACGTTTGTTGTTTAACCGTTTTTAACTTTTCAAAGGGCCTCTGTGTTTTCCTTTGATGAATTAGCAACTAATACTTAAAAAATGAGAATTTTAATAGCTTTCTTAAAAGCAGAACATGATGCAAAATTGCCTAATACACCTGACGCCACTTTTATGACCCAATAGTAAAAAGCAGTTCAGTTTCAGTTTTATTTGTCATATGCAAGTTAGCACAGGGTCAACATTGCAATGAAATGTGTTTGACGAGCAGCAGTCACTCAGCAGCATGGTACAGTAGAAGAAAATATAATAAAATAAAATTATTATATATAGCAGCATATATAACTGAATTAACAACTGTTCCTTTCATTTGTCATCTGGATGTTCTGTTGGATTCACATTCCACAATTGAAGAAACAGAATTTATTCCACTTTTAGTCTATTTGTCAAATAGAAAGTGGCTCCTGATGCTCATTCTTTCAACACAGGCTTCATGCAGTGTTTGCAGAGGAGGATGTGACCACCACAGCTCGATTAGAGGAGATGGAACAGGCCTCTAACATGAGGTCTGACCCAACTGCAGCCACAGAAGCAGCTGTTCACAAGTCTGATGAATTAATGTCAGTTATGAACTAAGTACACGCAGGCCCTCTCTTTTTCTCACCAAAAATAGCTTTTATAACCACTTCCCCAAAGCTGGGGGTACTCTAAGCATGCAAAATGGGGAACAAACAATCCGATTCAAATAGATCTGAGAAACAGGCAGAAAATGCGAGAAATTCTTACTTCAGGCGTGAAGATCTGCCATGAGTTTACTGGCACTGACGAATAACCAGAAGATGTCAGAGCCTCAAGTGGAGTTCAGCCTTAATTAATGAATTCAACTGAATTTAAAAGGCTGAAAGAACGAGCTGTTGGGTTTTATTTGCGGGAATCTATCTATCTATATTAAATTAAAAGAGACACATTTTGCTTTTCAGCGACTAACATGAGAGATGGAGAAGTGAGAAACTGAGAAAAAGAGGAAGCGCAGTGAGCAGGAGCTGACCTGAGTCTTTTTAACAAACAGCTTTTTCTTTGAATATTTCTGATATTTATTGTGGTTCGGCTTACCTTTCCTCCCCTCTGGAGTCGACTCAAACTTTAGACGAGTTTATTCTAAGCCTGCCCGCTTCTCCCTGCGCAGTTTGAGCGCAGCAGCATATTTTAAACTTTTATTAAATGCAGGAAAAATCTTATTAAAGTCCTGTTTCTGTGCTGAATGAGGTTTCCCCGACGGGTCAGTAGAGTGAATGAAGTCGACTGAGGACGGAAGATAAACACGCTCAGCGTTCGTCTGCAGTCTGCGGTCTTCGCTCTGCTGCTGCAGCTGCACCAAGAGCGACGCCTTCCCTCCAACTTCAGTCCACCTTATCAAAATAAAAGCCACGGGTTCCGCCGTGTCTTCTCTCTGTGTGGTTTTTTATTATTTATTAGAGCCCAACATTAAACCAATGAGCTATTGTTACTATTATTATTATTATTATTAGTAGTAGTAGTAGTAGTATTTAGTAGTTATCACAGCAGATCATCTGCCTCCTTCACCACGTCCCCGTTTTCCTTCTCTCACCCCAGCCAGTCGCAGCAGATGGCCCCGCCCTCCCTGAGCCTGGTTCTGCCGGAGGTTTCTTCCTGTTAAAACGGACTTTTTCCTTCCACTTTCGCCAAAGTGCTTGCTAATAGGGGGCTCATATGATTATTGGGGTTTTCTCTGTATGTATTATTGTAGGGTTTAATTTACAATATAAAGAGTCTTGAGGCGACTGCTGTTGTGATTTGGCACTGTATCAATAAAACTGAATTGAATTACATCAGTGAATCTTCTCTGTTGTCTTCTCTTTTCCCTCCTGTCTAACAGCTCCAGCTTAAAAATCCAGGATATCCGCTACCCTCCTGTGTACATGTCCAAACCTCCAAAGTTGCCTCCAAACTGTCCGACCTGAGCTGTCCCTCTGATGTTCTAATTTCTGATCATTCCCACTGAAAATATTAACATCTTCAACTCTTCTAAACCTTCCCTTTCACTCTTGCTGTTATTCTTCTGTCACAAATTCCCAGTGAAAATCTTGGCATCATTAAGATTTGGATCAATTATTTATTTATTTTAAAAGTTTGTATGCATTTATGTTTTTTGAGCACCTACATAAACTACACAAACTTATGAAACATACCACACATTTGCATTTTAAAGAAGGCTCCAGTTGCCAAGGTAACCCTTTAATGTATTTACTACCAGGTTATACGTCAATCACAGGTACTCTTCACTCTCACTGAGAGTCACTTCAGTCACTCAACTGCAAATACAGAAAAATCTATCTCAGGTCAAACCCACTTTGTCTCACCAGCGGTTATTTCGCCAAGTGGCCAAATATCTTGTGATGAATCTCTTCTAATATGCAAGCATCTTAAGTGAACCCTAGTTTTTAGCAACCCAATTAAATTAAATTACTTAACCTGAAATCTGGACATGACTCACTGGTTTGATAATTTCTTCATCATACTTTTTTTTTTTTCAAAGTTTGAAAATTGGATAAAGGGAATGGTCGGGAACAGAAACTAAATATCTATGAGTTTACAATGAGAGTGAAACTTCTCTATAAATGCTGTGCCATCACATGATCCCCAGAAAGATGCTGAGCTGACATTTAGGGTTTAAACCAAAGACCTGTCATCCACTGGCTTCTGGACTTTACATTTTAAAGACTCAGCGTCAATGTCTTGACTGTTGCCATGTTAGTTTTTAAAGGTAGAAGTGAGCATAACTGGAAAAGAAATTGGACTAAGTTATTAGTGCAGTCAACCACTCAGCAGGCAGCATTATTTGTCACTTACACTAAAATATTTAAATTTTTGAACAAACTGGCTGCGCGGCTCTTCTACATAAGCAGATACAGAAAACACTAGAAATCAAAATGGACCTCCAACCTTTGTTTTCTACAGTAACTCTGCATGATTCACAACTCAAAATGATCCTCCCCTCTTTAAGCTGTCTTTCTTCCGATTGGCTGCCAGTCACAAATAACAGCAAGTGGGTGGATAACTGTGCCTGTGGTTACCATGTTAGTGATGTCTTGACTATGTTATTAAGTGATTTTTCACATATTTTGGAATAAAACATTAAAAAAATACAGTTTTAATTTCAGTTCAGCATCACGTTTTGCACTTAAAATACCACATAACAGTCATACAAATGATATATGCTAATATCTTATTCAATGTCCTGCAGGTATAACACACTCAAGAATATTCAGATGATAAATGTACTTTGCAAATCTACCTGCTGAATAAATAAATCTTCAAAGAACTGCACTAATGTACAGTCCTATTTAAATCAACTTGCAGAGACCCAAAAGACTGAAAACCTGCCAGAGCACATGAAGAAATGAAGAAATAAGAAACGCAGATGTGTTCATCAAAGCAGGAGCGACTGTGAGCAGGATGCTGCTGCAACATTTGTGAAGATACCAGAATGGTCATAAGAAATGAAGATGGGGAAAATTTTACATTGCGTTCTGCTTATTTTCAACATGATAGTAGTTTATCTAAAATCTAAAAATCTAAAAACACAGATAATCTGCAGCTCTTTAAGGACTGATGTGTATTCATTAAAAAACAGGCTCCCTGATCTTTAGGAACCCAGAAATCACAAGATCCTACATCTACACTGAAATGCTACATTAGATAAATTAAATCAACAATATTTAATACCACAAAAAACACATAATCAGGTTTTAATAAAAAAAAAATTAGAACAGCGTTATTATGACTATTTTTTTAAAATTGTTATATTATTTACTTTTATTATTACAACAACTCGCATACCAAAATAATTTCTCAAATGTGGGCTAAATTAGCAGTATTATTATTTTTTTTATTATAAGCGGTACTAGTAGTAGTAGTATTTATTATTATTATTCATTTACAGAATCAACGGTCCACAATTTAAAAACTTGCTTGATGCTTACAGATCATTTTCCTACAAGAAGACTGAGGCTAATGTTTCCACAGCTGGGACCAGTAGCATGTAGTCTGAAATCCTGTGAGCACATATCATTTTCAGAAGGATGAGGAATTGAATTTAAACGAGAATTCTTAATTAGTCGTCAAATGTACTCCAGCAGCCACACATGCACTCCTCTGCAGTAAAAGTCTATTAGCTTTACCATTACTTTCCTTTACTACAAAGCTAATAGTAAGCTCTGGATCAGGCACTCTGAACCAACCCATAATCATGCTGCTCCAGGCTCAGACTGGATTGTGGCTACCTCTCCCTGAGGAGGTCACTTCCTGTTAAAAGTTTTTCCTCCCCGCCATTGCCTGATCTCACAGGAGACCATCTGAACACTGAGACTGGGGTTTCTCTCTAATATTGTGAGGTGTGTACCTTCCAGTTTAAAGTGCTTTAAGGTCACTGTGGTTGTGAATTGGTGCTGTATAAAGTTTTATTAAACTTGCTTTCCTGTATAGTTTGTTCTCAAGCATGCAGCACACACATGGCTGTACAGTCTGTTCTGGAGAGAGAAATCTTACATGCACTCTCGCTTTACATGCATGAAACTTGCATAAGAGGATGTTTGGTTGTGCACACATCACATGCCATCACCTCTAAATATTCTCATCACTCATTTGATCTGTAAAAAAAACTTATAAGACAGTTTAATAGAGTCATTTTTTCAAACATTTTTATCAACATAGTTATTCATATTTTTGAATGACTGCAGATGAACACAGGATGTGATCAATCAATGAAACTACACATTTACATAAGAAACTGAAATATGCTTTAAAAAGCACTAAGCGACACGAGACTCGCTTCTCTTTCATTTTCCTCTGTAGTCTTAAAACAGTCACATTATGTGCATTAGATAAAGATCAAATCCTGTTATCTTGATAACTGCTTGTCTTCTTATTTAGATGCTTTCTAAACAGTAAATGGTGACGATACATTTTTATTACTCAGAAAAAGCAAAGAGAAAAGTGGATTCTTATGCATTTTACATCCCTGTTCTGTTCTTTTGTTATGTATTAGATTGTTTTTATAATTCATGGCAGCGCTGATGCTTCTCCACCAATCAGTGACTATTACCTCAATGGAGTGTGTGTGTTAATGTTGATACAACAGAAAATAGTGTATTTATTTTAACGTTTTAATTAACTGCATGGAGAAAAGTGTCAAACACAGCAAAGTAGAAATGATGCATGTCATTTTTTATCCTCTTTATGTTTTTATGTTGTGCTTAAAAATCTGGATTTTGTGCTTTTCTAAAATTTGGTATGCACAGAAATTAAAAAGCCTTGAACCTGGTCTGTGTTTAATTTTGCATTATAAGTTTTTGATCTTTTTTTTCTTTCAGATTGTGTCATTTAGTTGATTCGGCACACGTTTGTTTTGTGTTCACTTACTTTCTGTGTGTTTTGCATCATCTGCAAAGTAAAACCAAATCAGACCATTTTATTGTACTTTACACAGTTCAGACAATATTATTGCATTACTCGGGTTATAGATAAATAACACAGAGAAACAGTTATATCATATTACTCAAAGTGCATCATGTGCATTTAGTAAGGAAGGTCCATTCATGTCCAAAAAGAATAGACAAAAGCACGAGTGACTTCTTCTCTGTGTCTTGAATGTAATCCGGTTGCAGACCACAAACATGGCGGTCTTCTTCTTGGCCGAACAAGGAAATCCCTAAGTAAAAACAATCTACTAAAGAGTTTGATCTTTTGTGTGAATATTTGTAGGACTCGTTCCAGATTGTTCCAGTTTTCCACCTGGTTTGAACCACTGGTTTACCTGCAGTGTTAAAGCCTCGGTCAGGTTTCCTTCATTTTCCTCATTTCAGGTTTAAAACTGACCCAGAATGAAAGTAAAATGCACTTTATTATTCTGTCATTGTTGCCATGTGAAACATATAACTCTATTTCTATTCTTTTAACTGACATTTCAGTGCCATCTCATTAATAATAATAACTTTATTTCTATAGTGCGACCTTTTTAAAAAAGAAAAACAGAGTTTATCCAGTGCTTTAACAGAGAAGCAAAAACAATCATACAGAATATAAATAAGTATAAAAATAAAGAGATTTTGAGGCAGTAAGATGATTAATCCTATGCTGAGCTACACAGAAGAGTCGCAATTAAAATCTCGCTGTAAAGCCAACACTGGCATTAGTCATCTGTCATCACCGACACAAGCAGACATCTCTGTAATATTCAGCCAGAGACGGAGGAAAGGTGGTTAGAAATCAAACAGCTTCTTCCTGTAGCATGACAGGAGTTCCTCACTGAGGGACTCTGTTTGGCCAGCCTCATGCAAAATAAATGAGAAAACAGACTGAATGCATGTGTGCCGAGCTGCTCTCAGCGTGTCAGAGCTCACAGATCGCAGGAAGGTGTAAAAACGCAAGTCTGACCTGAATCTCCAAACCGCTCGCTGTGCACAGCAGCTGCAGGTGGATCACATCCGCCTCTTGCCCTGTTACTCAATACCACAAGATAAATACACAGTTGTGTGTGTGTGTGTGTGTGTGTAGACACAGAGACAGACATTAAACTTGGGTTTGTTTAGAAATGCCACAGGTGCATGCAGTGGCCGACTGTTATTAACTCTCAGTGTGAACATGTTTAGCATTTACATGTTTTAAAACCGTTTAAACTTGTTGGGAACGCACATTAGTGCAGCTGTGTGCTTTTCTTTTTTCATTTAAAGGTTTTGTAAATTACTTCCAAAATGAACTGAAGCTCTCAAGAACTGCCAGAACTTTGTGCCCAAAATATCGGTGTACATGGTTGAAAACAGGCCTGGGCTCCGCTTTCATGTATTAACCAATTTGTGCCACAAGATGGTGCAGTGAGTCAACCAGACCTGTCATTAACCTTCTTAATTACAGTCAAAAGCCGAAGCCTCTTGAGGACATGGAAGTACGGCTGAAAATAAAAATCAAAGGTTAAGAAAAAATATTTAGCACTGGTGAAATGCTGCCCCCTGGTGGAGTTTAAGGTAAGACTTGCACAGAGTGATTACAGAAAGTGCCTGCATTAACCCACTGACTGTATATTAAAGAAACAGCCAGTGCAGATTTGCTTTAAATGTGAAATCCTTCAAATGACCAGTTCAAGAAAACAGAAGCTGGCAAATCAAAATTGCACATCAGTAATTTTTGCAAGTAAAATGAAGAAGTCACCAGTTTTCTGAATTAGTCCCTATTAGAGTTATTTGTTCCACACTATTGTATTTATACTGTCCCACTGCAATAATAGTAGAAATGTGAAACAGGAAAAAAAGCTTCAGACTTAAATCATTTGTTTTCCTTTTGGTGCTTGATGTCTTTAGATGCTGCCTCCATTTCTGTTTTTCTCTGTTAACTGGCATCTCCAGTTTTGCACATTTTTATCTAATGCTGGTGGCAGTTTGTTCATAGAGTAATTTATATCCTGCCATGAAATAAGAGTGACATTACTAAAAGCACAATATTAAAATTAATGATTAGGATCACCATTAGATAATGATTAACGCGTCTGTTGGTGAAGTATCTAAAGCTGTTGCTCCGCCTATCGCCTCTATTCTCTATGCCCACCTCTAGTGTTATGACACCGCCTTCCTGGCCTCTGAGAGCGTTGTGCCTCACTACAGTGTTACAGTAGAAGATGTGGCAAGCCACACAGCCACACATTCTGGACAGTTGGAGATTGCGCACTAGGTCTGTGGAGGCGGCCAAGTCTGTGTGGACTGTGTGATACTGTCTGTAATCATTACTTGTTGTTTGTTGGGGTCTGCTGTTGAACTGAAGGTGGTTTATGAACCGGACATGATTCGGATCATCTGTGGAGGCACTGCTGCTCTGGACCTGCTGATTGTTGAACTGGCTGTACTCGTAACTTGTTGTCTGTGGAGGTCTGTTGTGGTACAGCCTGTAAGGGTTACTTGTTGTCTCTGATGGTCTGTTGTGGTACAGCCTGTAAGGGTTACTTGTTGTCTCTGATGGTCTGTTGTGGTACAGCCTGTAAGGGTTACTTGTTGTCTCTGATGGTCTGTTGGGGTACAGCCTGTAAGGGTTACTTGTTGGCTGTGGAGGTCTGTTGTTGAAATAGTCTTGGCTATTTGATGGAACCTGATTGGAAGCTCAAAAGAAACAAAAAAAAAAAAAAACAACACTTACAAATGTTTTCATGAGTTTGTTTGCTGTCATTTCATTTTCTTACGTCACAGAAAAGTTACTTTTGAAGATGAAAATATTTTGCCATTGCAAATTTTGCCAATTTTATGCTCCATAAACATGTTACTTAGCATGCAGTTTCATTTGCATATGAAGGTTTTCACAGTGTTGTATCTTAGCATATTTACCATCATCTGAACTACTGTCAAATGGGGAAGTAGGCATCTTCTTGGACATCTTGGCGTCTTCACGCTCCCCCTTTTCCATCAGGGCTGTAAGTGCAGCTAGAAGAATTGATATCTCCTGTTAGAGAAGGAGTTGGATCCAGATCATTCTTAAGTCAGATTTAAACATATGTAATTAGTACAGCAAAGATATCCCAGCCCAGCATGTGTTTTTCCTTCAACTTGTAGGAAGTCCTCCAAGTTCTCCACAATCTCAAAGTCAGAGAAAGTCACCTACCTAATATTGTGTTGGTCCCTATTTTGCTAACAAAACAGCCCTAACCCATTGAGGAATAGAATAGAATAGACCCCTGAAGGTGTGCTGTGGCATCTGACACCATGATGTTAGCAACAGATTCTTTAAGTCCTGTAAGTCGGGGCCTTTCTGTGTGGAGTTTGCATGTTCTCCACATTTTTGGATAGGTTTTCTCCCAGTATTCCACAGACATGAAATTAGTGGGGTTTGTTTCTCTGTGTTAACCCTGCTTCAGAATGGATGAACTGAATTGAATTAAAATGGTAAATGGACTGGTTCTTATGTAGTTTTGTTCTACTCTGACCACTCAAAGCACTCTGCACACTTCTACCTTTCTATGTAAGTGCTTTCTGTCTAACATTCACATGCATTCATACTCCGATGGATGAACTGAAGACAAACTTGGGGTTAGTATCATGCCCAAGGAGATTTGGCATGCAGACAGAAGCAGATGGGGATTGAACTTTCAACATTCTGATTAGAAGGTGACCTGAGCTACAGCCACTCCCATAATTCATAACCTTCGAATGACGTTTCTATAATAAGTATGCCGGAGAGGTGGTGGAGCTCCAAAGTGACCTGTGTTTGAGCACTCTGACATTGATATGAACAGGAAAAATATTCACACATTTTTGCAAAATTCACCAAAGCAAGTCATAACATGCTATTCCCAAACAAGCTGTGTTTCCTGATGTAACTTTTCTTCAGGTTTTTTCAAAGTCACTGGATAACTTAGGCATCACAATTTTGATCCAATAAATATTGGAGCGTTTTAAAGGTGTTTTAAAACACCTGCATATATTTTGAAGGCTCCAGGAAAGAGATTCAGAGTGATTAGTAACACCTAAAGTGCTAACATACCACAATCAACCTGTCAAACAGGGTGTTCTTAGTACTTAGTTTCACCTTTAAAATACAAAAACACATATAAACAACACACACTTCTGTCTTCACAAGGAGAGGCTACTCTCAAAGTATTCAAAGCAGCTCAAATGTCATATTTAATGTTACAGAAACAACAGATTAATAGTGAAAAGCAAACAATGAGCACCAAATCTCTGACGTTTTTGTTTCAGTGCGCCTCTGTCAGTGCGCCCCAGGGTGGCTGTGGCTACAATGTAGCTTGCCATCACCAGTGTGTGAATGTGTGTGTGAATGGGTGGATGACTGGATATGTAAAGCGCTTTGGGGTCCTTAGGGACTAGTAAAGCGCTATATAAATACAGGCCATTTACCATTTACCATTCACCTCTCAGATTTAACCTTTTTTTTAATATCTGGATATTTGGATATCAGCAATATTACTGCTATGATTTCAACTTTGTATGTGTGTTTGTGTGTGTCTATGTTCCCGCATGTGTTACAGAAACTGTGAAATCTTGTCAGACTTGACTGTCTATGGGCAGATTTTGTCAACATGGTAAGCATCAATATGCAGTCATAAAACACAATAGGCAGCTGAAGTTCAATTTGATAATAAGTGTTGTCTCTGAACTTGTAACTAGTTTTGAATTGCTGTACAATAAAAGAATATTTAGAATTTATTTTCATGAATTGAATTCAACCTAACAACATTTTAGTTTAATATAGTTAACTAAAGTTCACATACTGTCATCACATTGCATTGAAACGACTTCCTCCAAAGCAAACTGTCATGGAGTGAACGTTAGGACCCAAATGCAGTTTTCATAGTTATGCAGAAATAACAAAAAACTAACCTTTTATTAAAGTCGAGGAGTAATCCACAACACACATAAAAAATAAGAAAACTTTCAAAAAGGATCACGAGGAGAACACGAGAGCACACAAACAGATACTGAAACAATGACTGACAGGCAGGGCAGGCCTGTGTAAACACACACAAGGGACTTTCAGATAAAACAGAAAGTAAACAAACCACCAAACAGATATGACAATGACATACAAGGAAACACTAGAGGAGGCTGGTCTTAAATACATAAAAAGACAAGGATATAACTTTAAATAACTCTTAACATTATCTGGATTATAAAATAACAAGAAGTAAACAGAACTGACTAAAGAGTCACAATGAGCCCAAGCAGGGAAGGCCAATTATAAACTCTGCAATGACAATACAATCTGACCACAATCAACTAGAAGTAAAACAGAAATGAGGAACAGTACAGGGGCACAATGTTGAAAACATAAGATTTCTAGAGAATTAGAAAGAAAACCTAACATAAACTGAAAGGAAAGCCTGAAGTCTCCATGACAGAAACAATCGGTAAGGTGCATACCATGCAGGTGTTTTAGTCATCACATGAGTCAGTGGTGCATACCTATCATTCTCTGATTATGCCAACAAAACTGAACTGAGCGTAAAGTCATTGTAGTGCAGCCATTCCCAAAGAAAAGTGCTGCAGTTCACTTCAAAACCAGAAAGACCATCTCTGATCAGTAAGTCTGCTTTCTGTTGTTGCCTTGAAGCCTGGCGTTTCTGTGTGTGAGACAGTGGAGGAGATTCTGTTCCTGTTCATGTGGGATTGGCACTCTGGATTTGTTACCTTTCTGTTCCAAAGACCTTGTAAATAGTGATGGGCCAAACGAGGCTTCATAAAACACTGAAGAATTCAAACCATTTGTGCCGCAATAATATCGAGGCTTCGAAACAATCTGAACCCCATCTCCACAGTGACACCTGCTGGCCAATTTGGGAATTACCACATCTTGATGGTGCAATTCTGTCAGACAATGACAGAGACGAGCCCTGCACATTTCCAAATAAAGCAACTTATTATATCAGACTGTCAATAATTGTGATCAGCAGGCGTTGGGGAGAAATCTCCGTACAAACTCAAACAATTGAGACTGTAATGATCACTTTGCTTCAGGAAAAACATTCTCAATTTGTTAACCTTCATGCTGCTCAAAATAAACCAATAATATAGTAAAAGATTCTGAGAAATAACTCCTGGGTTTATTGTAATAACCAGCTGTTCTTGGGATCAGTCAGCTTTGTTTTGTTTTTTGTTTTTTTGCTCACACCCCTCAATGCTTGGATGTGTTTGGCTGATGTTTAAGTTTTCTGGGAGTTCATGTTATCAGGTTTGTTGTACACACTGTCAAGCAAAGCTAGAGGCTGACATAGCTGAACTATGAAGAAACTTTTCTTAACTTTACACTGCTGTGGATGCTGTATCTTATAACACTGCCGTGATGTTTACTGTGAGTCTGGAGGTTTGGTTATAGTGAACCTGCCTCCTGATGTTTATGAGATATTCTCACCAGAAGCATCAGTGACAATAAAAAAAAGAAAAACTCATCTGTCATGAAAAGGTGTTAAAAAATAGATGAACTATAATTAATGATTACTAATAATGTGTTTTTCTAGCTTTTATTATCTACAGTGCAAATATATTCTTTATGGAGGTGCAGTATGTGAATAACAGGTTGAAGTGAGGATGACACGACTTGATGCATGTTTTTATTGGCAGCAGACATGTATATTATGTATGGGTCTCTTGTGGGGCCTCCTCACAGTGGGGCATGTCCAAAATGCATCACCTAGGTGCTGCCCTGGAGAGATCCTGGCCAAATGCCCAAATGACCTCATCCTGTCGCTGTGGAGAATTACCACAGAGAACAAGTAGTTATGGAACAAATGTCCATTCCACTGTACCGCTTACTGCACCATATACAGCATATGCATGATACAGTACTGGTGTGTATTGTTTTTTTGTTTGTTTTTTGTTGGGGTTTTTTTTGCCTGTCCTGTTTGGTTCATTTGCCATCAGAATTATTGTCTAAAGGCAAAGAAAGATGCCCAACGGATTTACTTTATCAAATGGACCATCCCGGCCTTGCCATATTGGTCTATTTGATTCACCTTTGCTTTTATTGTTTATTTTATTTTATTTTCACTTACACGGGACAGACATGACTTGGGGAAAGAAAAGGGAGAAAGAAAGAGAGGTAGGGAAAGAAAAACAGCGGGGAAGAGGAACGGTGATAAAGGGCAAAAAACAAAAACCAACAAAACAAACAGATAAAATATATATATACATATCAATCACCTGGATCACCTGTTGAGAAAGAAAAAAGAGAAAACAAGCAAAACAGAGAGATGATCTATGGGGTGTAGCTCAGGTGGTAGAGCAGGTCATCTACTGATCGGAAGGTTGGTGGTTCAATTTCTGGCTTCCCCTAGTCTGCATGCCAAATATCCTTGGGCAAGATACTAACCCCAAATTGCTCTCCGATGCATCCATCGGAGTATGAATGTGTGTGTTACTTAGAAAGCACTTAGAAAAATGTGCTTGCACAAGTTGTGTAAAGCGCTTTGAGTGCTCAGAAGAGTAGAAAAGCGCTATATAAGAACCAGAAGAATTTACCATTTATGTGAATATAACAGTAAATACTAGAAATTGAATATTATTGTGCAGCACGTAGGATTGACAGCGCACAGTGTGCTTTGAGGTAGGAGCAAAAAAAGGGTGTAGTTTGTGTCTGTGAGCACCCGTGTGTACACCTGTGTGCCTGAGCGCGCTTTTATTTAAAAGGTTCCTTCAGAGCACAAGAGACCAACAGAGGGGCAACCGTGCCACTCTCCCGGAAAGAGCTGAGGAGAGCCCAGATGAGGGGTGACTGGTGTGTATTGTAAAATATTGCTGTACTGGCTAATTACACCATAAAGCACAGAAAAACTAATTGTTGCATAGTTGGCATCAGTGGGTTCACACCCATTTGTATGTATATCCTCCAGCATGTCCCTCCATCATCTCAGCATTTCTGAAAAGGTGCTTGTTTTACACAGTTAAATGTAAAATGAGTAAATATTTGCAGGACTAAATTCAATTCATAAGGAAAATTGATAATGCATTAAAATTTTGGCCTTTGGGTGACAAGATCCATTCAAATGAAAAATGTACTGGAACTCTTATGTAGCTGTATAATGTGAATATATATGCATCCAGTAACATGAAGGACTCTCTGAAAGTCATTTTGACTTGGTGCCTCCTACCTCTGAGTCCCCATGCAGGTTTGTCCTACACATAAGAAGAAATGCTTTTGAGAGGTTTGTTCTCTTTGGATCTACCTTCTTATGTTTAACTAACTCAGATACAGACTGTATCTGTGATTGTCACTTGTCTGCTAACAAATGACCAGCTCAGATTAAGCACACTGCTGATGCATTTTCTTCATAAATCATGACATGCTGCTCTCCCCTACATAAACTGCTATTATGAGTTCATTGCTGTGTATTTACTTGGTATCAGGTCAATACCACATTTTTCAGTCTCATACATCAGTAGTAGGTGCCTCCTCCTGTCTTTAAGGCTGAGCCTGGACAATCGCATTCTCTCAAGTATGTGTATTTACATGGAGGTATTCTGCTGTAACTAATCATCTAAAGTATTTGAAAATACACCCATAAACAAAAACGAATGTAAACATGGATTATCAGCCACCAAAGCAGCTGCTGCACCTTTAATTTATTGATTCATTGATGAACTCTTGCAGAAATTGAACACAGAACCTTTGGTGGCAATCACTGCACTAATATAAATACTCTTAAATCTACTTAAAACAACAATAATGTCTTTACAAACAGTTTAAATGAACCATAGCAGTATTTAATAAAGGTTAAAGATGGGAATGAGATGAAGTGAAGCCTTTTTATTTAGTAAGTCCTGATGTAGCTGCAAGGCAATTTCCTGCCACTAGATGATGCTCTTTGTACATAAATTGGCCACAATTGAAAGAGTGACGCTTCAGATTTAGCAATTTCATAGGTATCATTTTTAAATATTTCTAGGACACACAAACCTATAATTTACATTTAAAAATAACAGCATTTACAATTACAGGTTTAAAAGGCAGGTGAAACTCTATTCTTTCTCACAAATTAGAATTCATAGTGCTTAAATAACCTTATATCCTGTACTCTTTAGAGAATCTTTGCTATATTACTATTGTTCCCTCATTTCAATTAAAACATCTATTTTTCAATAATATTCCTTATTTAATTATTTACTCCTTAACGTTGCCAAAAAGTCTCCAAAGTTAATTTAAGGTTTCTTTTTTAAATGAACTTAGTTATATAACTTAGTTATATCACCTTGTTTCACTAATCTGTTTGTTGGACCCAGTAAAACAAGAAACCAAAAATAATGTTTTGTTTTTTAAATATTGCTATTACATTTTTAAAAAATATATGAAAGGGCACTCCTATTTGCATATGAGATTCTCATAGATATAAAGTAACGTGTGTTCATGTGTATACCTGTCTCTATACATTTGTGGGGACCGATCCTGATTTAAAACCAAGCTATTGAGGACATTAAAACGTTTCTGTTTTTCACTTTCAGGCGCGTGTTTATTAAAGGTTTAGTCGTGGTTTTAGTGCTTACGTTAATGGCAGGTTAATAGTATTATGCAAGTAGTATGATGAGACTAAAGACTAGCTAACTAATTAGACTAAAAGAAGTGAGACTCCGCTTTACGTGCCCGCAGGTCCTCACAAAGTAGGAAGGACAGTTGTGTATGCCCGTGTTGCTGTGATTAGCTCCGCCCCCTCGCTCCTTACCGTGACGCCGCGGTGACGTGTTGCTGTAGTGGCTCGTGCAGCAGCAGGTAGTTTCATTCAGTCCGCTTCAGAATTCCGGACGGAGTTAACGGCTTTCTTATCATGGACCTGGCTTTGATTTCACTCGTTTTACAGCTCAGAAACGGATAAAAAGCAACGTAAGCGTCTGTTTTTTTGTATTTCCTCCTTAACGTCGACTCCAGTTTGGATTTTACCCTCCAGCGGTCCGATTTTAGCAGCTTGAAGTTGGTTCTC